CCCCCGCGGAATGCATTTCCCTGCCGCAGATTGGCAGGACCCATCGGCACAGGTATCATTGAGGATATGGCATGTCTTCCAAAATTAGTAGTGTGGGTGAGGATACTACCAAAAGAAGGCGACAACGCGAATCCAAGGCTAGTTATGCTGAGCCAGTGAGTGAAACTTGATAGCTGTGTCCGCGTGCCAGGCCACGAGGATAGATTCACACCTGGCCGCACAATCTGGAGGGCGCGGAAATGGGTATTTGCAGGCTTTGAAACGGTCCCTTGAGTGGCTTGAGAAGCCAGTAATGCGCACTCACCACCCGGGTCATCATCCGAAGGCACTCCGTCCTTTTACGTGTCGGACCCAGGTCAAGAAAACAAGTAATCCATTGGCTATAGCTACAGTCATCATGGGTTGTTATGCGGTAGGGGGTATGAGAGTCTACGTCTATGGTCATCTACCTTTGTTGCATTATGTGATATATATATTATACACTCCTCGACAAAATTCTCGTCAATTAGAGCCGCCATCGGCGCTCGTAGGAATGAATGTCCATTTACCATTCCACCCACAAAACGTTAGTCGTCGTTCTTTCGTCGCAACATTCAAAGCTCAGCGATCAGCTAGCTGAGCGCAGTTATACAGCCTTTGCCCCCTGTCGTTGATCTTCAATCTCGAGTTGTTTCGCGATTTTGAGATCCTAAATTGAACCAACATGAGGTACGGCTTCACGGACACATTGGGAAAAAAAAGGCTTCGCTTACAATACACGGTGCGAATTTGCTCCGACTTCGGATTTGCGAGCCGTACTTGTAGAAGAGGAAGGGACTGGGTGCAAGGACCAATGCGATCAAACCGACCAATGTTGATGCCCAATTGATACCAAGCTGTAAGCACGTACATGTCAATAATTTCGGTGGAAGTATATCTGCTAGACGAGAGACTTACGTTATGGTACATCTGGACAGTAAAAAGAGGAAAGGCGGCCGCCACCAGAGACCGTATGATCGTATTCGCAGCAAAAGCAGACGCCGCATACATGCTAGAAGTACAGTCAGCATCGATCGTAGGCACTGTTTTTTTTACATACAGATACGTATCGACAAGGTAACTCTATTGGATGGCCCGTCAGCACACGTTCGATACAAAATGCTTACTACAATCACGTACCAGGAAAGACATGAAAATCAAGTTGATACCTGCTCCGATGAGGATGGTGCTGATGGCTGGAACGTACCACGGAATGCTTGCGTACTGACCAGTCCATCCCAACCAAAAGGCTCCGATGACGAGACAAGGACCCGCAACCATCGCGCCATACAGACGTTCTTCGGGAGGCGGGAAGCCTTTCCATCTAGGAACGAGCTCAGGGTAGTGACGAGAGCAAAGGTGGTTGATGAGGGAGCCCAGCGAAGCACCAATACCAACACCAATAAATATGAGACCGTTCTGCCAGATCGTGAAGCCACGGGTCTCGACAAAGATGACGGGAATAGCCTCAAATACTACAAAAGAAATGCCCATTAGAATTTGAACGCGCCCGAATTACGATAGACTCACGAGCATATAGAACGCCATACACGACAGAAAGATAAATAGTTACAAGAACAAGGATGGGCTCCATCAGAAGCATCTGGAAAGGTCGATACAGAGTCCGATGGAGAACCCCTCTGATGGACCAATCTTGCTTTTCGTGTTCAGCGTACAGATGCGCATTCTTCTCAGGATTATCTTTCCTCAAAGTCTGGGCCTGTGGAGAACAAATCAGAACAAATCAAGCCTCAAAAGAATATTGCATTTACCTTCTTCAAGAGAAGGGCCGGGGCGTAAGTCTCTGGGAGGAAAATAATTCCCAAGATTGTACAAGCTCCGGCAAATATCATCATCACCCAGAAAACCCATCTCCACGAAACGGGACTTGTAGCGATACTAGATTGAACAGTCAGTCAGCGTGCGACTCCGTAGCGAAAAGGGATCTGCCGCCTACAATCCGCCGACAAGAGGCCCAAGTACTGGTCCCATGAAAACACTCGCAGAGAACAGACTCGTCGCAGGACCTCGACCAAGTGCCGGCCATACGTCCGCAATAATACCTATAGAGTACGCGTCTGAGGCACGAACGAATACATAAGGAAAAAAATGACAAAATGTTCACCTCCGTTGACTGTAAGTGGACCTACGGCAAAGAATCCCCCAAAGAAGCGACAGATCATCAATGTCTGAATGTTCTGAGCCAGGGCCTGACCAAGATGGAAGAGGGTGTAAACTGTCATCGTGCCTATCATGACAGGACGTCGACCATAAAGTTCGCTTCCTGGGCCCCAAAGTACCGGCTATTGAGATACCAGTTAGCCCGGGTAGCAGCAAAAGATGAACATGTGGGAAAAAAAACGCACCCCGACGACATAGCCCAAGAGGAAAACAGTCACAAGAGCATATGCTGTTTCAGTATTGATGTCGAACGCAGCTATTATATCAGTAGTAGCAGAGGTCGGTGCCGACGATGAAAAAGTACTAGACCGGAGGGAGAAAATGGAAGCCATCAGAGAAGCAGAAATGACCCTTGGATAACAGAGATCACGCACACATTAAGGGCAAGAAGAATGCAAAGGGCCGTGATGGCCCATTTCTTCTTTCCACTCCAGTTCTGTGGATTGAGTTGGTCGTTCGCGTCCGCCCATGTCACCATGTTGGGGTCGAGAGGTGTCGTGTCGAGTATTGAACAAGTGTCGTTCTTGGGTTTGGGTTCCTGAGGGTCATTCGCGCCATATTTCTCGATTCTATGTTCGTCAATGGCGATTTCTTGTTCCAAAGAGGTGGAATAAATATGAGGTGAATGAGGTCGTAGTGTCGTTTCGAGAGCGGTGACAGAGGAGCGAGGAGTTGGGGTCATGATGCTTTCTACCATGGTGAAAACTGGGCGTAGGGTCGTATTTCTGTTCAAAGAGAAAAGGGAAAGAAAATCACCCGTACTGTTTACTCATCCTGGCCTTTTATATGTCCTGCGTGTGGTCGGAAGATTGGAAGCCTATGCTGAAAAATCGGGGAAATACAAATTCCCAAGCTATGGGGGCCGAAGCGGAGTCTGCCGGAACCGGGACTTGTTCTCGGTCTTTTTTATACAACTTGGCGCTGAGAGCATCGTGTTTGGCGTGATGGACTAGGTAGCATGAGCGTTTCCGAGGCCGTACCAAAAGTCAGGAATATTTTTCCTTGGATTTATGAATGGCAGCGGGAGGGTAAAGTGCCTACGGCAGTGCGGTTGAGCACCGCTCCGCGGCAGTCGATCATAGGAACATTTTTCAACCCGCTCGAAGAGCGATGTGTCACTGCAGCAATGTAAGGGAAATTTGAAATGACATTCATAGTAAGTAAACTGGCGAAACGGTGTGTTTATGCAACGACGCCACCGATACGAGTGACCTAACCCCGCCCAAGTCCAACGTACTCAAAGACCTTGTCTTTCTCAGGAAGCAGCTCGTAAACTCGACGTGTACGAGCTTGCCAATACTGCCTTACAACCAGTCTCCGTTGAGACAAGCGCCAACGGTAGTAGTTGTAAGGCCGCCGGATTGCATGCGGGATCAGCCGGGAACGCAGGGAAGCTGGGTCAGAAACACGTTCGTAATGAGAGGTGTGTGCGAGGGTAATGACAGGTGGGGGAGGAACAGGGCTTTGGACCGACGACGGAGGCAAAGCAACACCGCTTCGGGCCTTGGTTCTCCGACGTACGAAGCCCTTGATGCAAGCCTGGAACCACATGGCGTGCAGGGGGAACACGAGGGTAAGAAGGATAGCAGGAACGAAGGAACCACTAGTGGCGTAGAGGCGGTTGTTGGGAAGATAGTAAGAGATACACAGCATTATGTGGAGTGCGATCCGGGTAGCGAAGAATGATAGAGCAAAGAAGACGTCGGAGCGCAGGGACGGGTACAAGGATCCCAATCCGAGAATGAAGGTAGGAAACTGAAGGACGACGGCGTCATGACGTGCAGAGATTGATCATAAAGAAAAATACGGCACCTCCATGATACAACAGAGACAAAATACATGAGCGAATGATCGCCTGATGGCAATCTCTACAATAATAATATACAATATGTGGTGGAACCAGCCAGTCATGATCGATATCTGGGAACGATAATACACTGTACCGGTGATCAAATCGCTGTAAGATCACATTGAATAGAAGGCCAATAAGCGAACAAGATTATCCCGTACCACACTAGATACGCTTGGAAAAATCTATTGGCAGGCACCGCCAAATAGGGCATGTGTGCGACGTCCTGGACGCTGTTGTTGGTGAGATAGTTCCAGAGAAAGGGCAGACTGGTGAGGGTCATGATACAGCTAACGACAGTCGTGATGATCCACGAAAGCTGTTTAGATGTCGTAAAGCGGGGGGCAAGCAAATGGTAGACGCAGAATAGGGCAACGAAGGACTGGGCCATGATGGAATACTGCTTGACTGGCACAGTATCCGTCGCCAGCTGCGCCCCCAGAGTCGAGTTCATGGTGGAAATGGAATGTGGGGAAGACTAATCGACGCCCGAGAGAATGTGCTCCTAAAAGGTGCTGTATATCAGTGTGATATCAGTAGTCACACGTTCGAGTATGGTATCAGACATTTAATAGGGACATCAATGCCACGTTTACGGCGAATCTACAACAAATGGAGCTTTAGACTCATCTCGGATCTTTGTGGTTGGATAGCGGGAGCGAACGTGCGAGACTTAAAACCTCCGAATCGCCGACAGTCAGTGAAACAGCGCGGGGCGCCCAAGCCTCATCTTGAGAGACTCGAAGATTAGGCAAGAGTCGGGAGCGTCAGTGGAGTGAAACGCGGGAAGAGAGGGCCTGAAAAAAGGATATGAGAGCCAGTGCCGTCAGATAAGAAAGAGCAAGAGCAACAACGTTCCTTTACTGATACCAAATGCCAGGCAGAGGTAGATATCCAAGGCACATGAGAAGGACCCGGATCAAAAGTCCTGCTTAGGTCCGTCCCAGCATATATAGAGCAGCGAAGCATGAAAATGAATATCGCGAGCAGGAAGGACAAAGAGACAAAGAGTAGTCGAGATGTGACAAGGACAAACAAAGGTCATTGGCGACTGCGTGTCGTGCGATCAAATAATGCCAAATAACGCGCTCCTTCACAAGTGCCACATCCCAAGCGATTGGCTTGCAGCTACTAGTATACATGGATTCTTTCCAGTGGTCCAGTTACGTCTCACTTGAATCAGGTATATTTTCCTTTGACTCACTTTTTGCCATTAGCACCCGAACGCCGCAGTGGCAACCAGGAATTACCTCCCATTCCAAATGAAATATACTTGGAGATTTTCAGCTACTTGGAACCTTCAGACGAGATAACTGAGGCTCAATGCAAGGCCACATTCTCCAAAATTGTCTTTGTCTGTCGGTTTTTCTGCTCTGTTGCTTTGCCTCGTCTTTACAGGTCGCTGGAATTTCGGGGGCGCAAGCGCCAGAGTAGCAGCGTATACGGCTCTCCGAGTCGCTCAGCCTCTATGTCTGTTAACTTTTCCCTTGCGATCAATAAGCGCTCACCTTGGGCTTGCGATCTCGCATGTCACGTCAAAGACTGCACCTTCGAGGACTGGATTCCGGAGATATCTTCCCAGGGGCCTTTGTATGCCGAGTTCCTCAGAGTCTATTGCAGGGCAATGGTTAAGATGGAGGAAATTCAATCCCTCACTCTTGATCACGTCATAATATCTCATCGCATGCTCAAATCGATTGCGAAGCTGAAGAAATTAAAGCGCCTCGCTGTCAGAGAATGCGAGCTGGCCCAGGGCGTTACAGAACTGGATATTTCCGCACTACGCTCCCTTCCAATAGATGAATTTACTTTGGTCTCCGGTGTGTGTTGTGTATTCCAGCCCATGGTTGTTTTTATACATCCGCTAACCATGCATGTGGCAGTGCATCAGAGGTCTACAAGTCCTCTCACGCTCTTCCAAGGTATTCCAAACACGTCACAAGTCATATTGCATGCTAGCGCGTGGGATGACAATTCCATGTCCACCGTGATGAGCTCACAGCTGACGCGACTGACGCTCGAAACTCTATCTTACGAGACCAACCTACACCAGCTGGCCCACGTGCTGAACCATCTCCCATCATTGACACATCTAACGGTCGCGACTTTATCCTTGGAGAGCGTCTCATCCGCCGGTGATCCAGATTTTCCTTTGGAAGCCTCGTCCCTGCCCCGTCTCCGTGCTCTGTCTTGTCCCCCCCTTCTGGCAATCTTATTTCCTAAGCGAGCATTGAATGAACTCGACATCACTGGTTATAATATTTCGACTACTGGGTCGTTGTTACGACATGTCTATTTCAACGCCCGGGACCGCCACACACAGACCTTTGGACAGACTACCGCAGCGATTCAAACGCTTTCGATACGTGACGACATGGTGTCCCGCGGCGATGCTATCATCCGGTACTTTCCTCATCTGAAAACACTACGTGTCGTGTGCGGTTCACATGACGACAAGACTATGACCCGCGTTCTCAAGGTGGATTTGTCCGTGCTGATTTCGGGCTTCTGAAAGATCTCACATTTTTATTCATTTTCAGGACATTTCTGAAGGCTTTCATGGCACGGATCAGGGATACCTCCCTATCTGTGAACTTGAAGTGCATATACCTCTAATCCAGTCTTGGATGGTCAATCTCCAGGTACAACACAAAGCCATCGTCATGCATATCCAAACGGCGTTCTTCCAGATCACTCGCGTCAATCTTGCGGCAGGCGTCCAGTGGCACCGGAACGATGTCTGCAGTGACTGGCAGGCTTATGTGCAGCCCGCCAGGATTGAGGCCACATTATTACTCCGGGCTATGGACTTGTTCTCCGACAATGTTGCCGACTACAGGAGGTGCTTTGCAAAGGCGGGTCTGCTTGATAGAGAGATTAAGGGAATGGGGGGGAGAGTAGAGGTGTAAAGAAAAGCCCAGGCAGAATCTTTGACCAATTGAAGAGGATGATCTTCCTTAAACATTTGCTTACTCATAATCTGTCCATCCAGCTCGTTAAATTGACCCTAGTTCCTTTTCCCTGTAAACCACCATCTGATATATATTCCAATTCCAACCCCCCAAAATTCCAAGTAAATTAATCCATAACGTCATTATTCATTTTTCAAACACTCAAAATGGCTTCGACCAGACCGGGGACACTATCAAAGAAGTCGAGCACTGGAAAAAGCGTTCGTTATTTTTAAAAAAAAGGAAACGGCAAAATTCTTACTGATGATTCCGAATCTCGATCCGTTCCTTTCCTGGAGCCAAGGGAGCAGCTTCTGGTTCACCCCAGGAACGTCTGTCCCGTTCCCCAGAGCCATGATCTGCCGTGCGTCGTGAGTAACTTGAACTAATTTTTTTCGAGAAGGGGGGGGGACACTCACCCGGGGCGTCTCGGCAGGCGAGTCAACATCATGCTCAGAGCTCGCGAAACTGATGTACAGCTGATCCGGGTGGTTGTCGATGGCGTCCTGGATATGCGCCGTGGTGGCGTTGTACTTCCATAGGATGTTCTCTGCGGCGCCCGCTCCAGTCTCCACCCCGATGTCGTAGTAATCCTAACGCTCCTAGAATCAGGGACGCGCTTTCTTCCACCTGTTAGAAGCGAACACCCACCTCGATGTACGCGACCTGGTCCTCGGCCTCGTTGTACACAAGGGTGATGTTGACGCCGTTGTCGGTCCACTGGTCCGCATCGAGGTAGATCCCGATCCTATTGGTGTCGTAGGCCGGGAGGAGATCGTAGCTGAACCGTTGGAGGAGTGTCATCTTTCCCCGGGCTTCACCAAGGGTACCGAGCTGTAGAAAGAAGCGAAGCGAAAAAAAAAAAGGTTAGCTGGCCGTACATGTGGAAAAAGTCGCTTGTAACTCACCGTCCCGTTAGTCTGGACCCAATACTCTGTAGCCGGACTGCTGTTGAAGAGATCGTACAGATGCTCGTAGAGTTTAGCGTCGTCGGGTGTACCGGTACTGCTCTCGTGGTTGACGGAGATGAGAAGTGCCTCGGTGGGGTGCTTGTCGAGCCAGCTGTAGAAACCAAAGAATACATCCTCGACTGTCGCTGTCGGGCTCAGCATCGCCTCCGCTAAATGTCGGTCAGTACCTTTTTTAAAAAGAGCCAGCCTGGTGCAAAACAGAAAAATTCTCACAATGGTGAAATCCGATGGTATCCTACACGCATAACACTCAGCTTGATGGTTTTCAAAGCATTGAAAATCCTCGACGTACGTTTCCAGGATTATAAGCAACTCGCAAGTCAAATGCTCGGATACCACCGTTGAGCATCTGGAATAATGAGTGCTCTTGACACTGGTAATACTCGGCCGCTGCAATCCTGATATAGTTTATGTGCAGTTGATTTCCCGGCCTGTCTGCAAGCGAATACGATCCCACTCACTCTCCAGTATAACGGATGAACTCATCCTGGGTAGCCTGCGTATAGTTCCCTATGGGCGTATCGGTCAGATTTATTTATTTATTTTGGCCAACTGCCAACACCAGAAAGACGGACAAGTTGCAGCATCGTGAGTACCAGGAATGCTCATATGCACGATCTTCGTATCGTCCGAATAGTTGGCCATCCAGTCGCAAGTGGCGTTCGAACGAGAACACCCCTCGTCGTATCCTGCAGGAATGTCGGCAGGTGAATAAAAACAGAGTGTTCGGAAGGACTTGCCTAAGATGGGAGCACCCTGTTTCAGTATCTCAGCAAGGGCACTCTGCGCGAGGACAGTCTGGGCTTTCTGCTCCTCCCCGCGACGCGCAATGGGACTGGCGAACGCGCCCAGGCTCAACGCAACTGTTGCAAAGAGTAAGAGAGACATGGGGGGGGGTAATGGTCGAAACGTTGACGTTCGATACGAGTTCACTGAGTCTCAGCTACTTAAATATCCGGACGCGGCGCGCACGTTGTCGACGGGAGGTTGGTTTTCCCCTCAAGGATTCGCGGTGTACCGGACGAACGAGGCGCACGTTCTGATACTATCGAGGGAAAATGTTTAAATCATGCAAAGCAAATGTGGTAAAAAAGAAGTTATTTGATCACATGTGATGTGATGGGAAGGAGATCTTGCTTCCAAGTGTAGATATTAGTTCCCACAATTATACCTCACCACTGCGATATTCAACCTTTCAGGCATGGATTAAATATACCGGTCATCAAATGGAATTAAGATACGTTCTACACTAGGTCGTGCAAGTCGTCCAGGGATACAGCGGTCAAAGGATTACCGCTTACGCTTCGTAGCAGGGCCTTCGCCATCGTCACCTGTATCAGGGGTATCAACATCTACATGCATTCCTTCGCCAGCACTTCCTCCCTCTCCACTGCCTTCACTATCGACGTGCGGCGCTTCATGATCAACGTCCATCTCACCAGACCGTAGGTCACCATCGACCATCATCTCTTCGCCTTCCTCTTCCTCTTCTTCCTCGTCCATGAGATCCATACTGGGCCCTCGGGACCGCCTGCGCACCCGACTGCCAACAATATCACCTTCGACTTCCGTCTCAGCACCGCCGGCATCAGCTGCCTCCTTCTCTCGTTTCCTGGCACTATCCTCTACGGCCGAAGAATCGTCTTCGTCATCGGCCTCCGCTTCCACCTCGACGTCCTCTTCGAGATCGGCAAAAGTTCGACAGAGCGGACAGGAAAAAGCAGGATGATGCGATTCGAGAAGAGGTCGGATGCATTTGTAGTGGAAGGTGTGGGAGCAGGGTGCTATGAAAAGGGCTTGACGGATTGTGACACTGAAGAGGCCTGGGCGAAACATTAGGTAGATTTTCGGATGACGAGGCAGCAAATACCAACATATGCAACAGTCAGGAATAGTTGACTTGGTCGGGGTCTTCACCCCGGCAGCAGGCTTCACAGGAGCGACGGTGGCTGATAGAGATTTAAGATTTTTCAAAGCATTCGTACTGAAGAGCCGTAAGCCAATCAAAACGACAAGAGATGCATGCATAACGACGCACTTGAAGGCATTTGCAGCGGCTTGCCACTCCCTGCCCAGCTCAATCCGGATCTTTACCGACTTGTAGATATCCTCTGTACCACCCTGATAATCAACACCAAGCTGAAGGATATCACCGTCCTTGATCTGGTGTGGCCGGGACTCTGTGTTGGCAGGAGAGAGCCGGACGTGGTTCAGGAACGTCCCTGATGATGATTTTGTATCCTTGACGAAAAATCGACTATTCGCATCGACCCAAATCTCTGCATGTGCCCTTGAGACAACCTTGCTCTTGAATGCGACCTTGCTATTCTGCAGGGCATTGACGGCAGCAAGACCTATCCCTGATCGATCCGTGAACCGACCAATGCGCAGCGGGGTATCTCCCTCCTTGACATCGCGTGATATAGCATCGAACCTAAGCGAGCGGCGAGAGTCTAGATGGGGAACGAGACGCAGGCGGTGGCTGGGGCCGGTATTTGGTCGCGATGCTGGTGCCGTTGAAGGTGTCGTCGCCTGAACAAGTGCTGCTGGCGACGGCAGTGCTGGCACGACAGGGCTCGTCTGCGCCGATATCACGCCCCCGGAACGTCGTCGTCGTAACATGTGGGATAATCCAAGGCCACCGGTGGACGTGGTGCTGGTTGCTGATACAGATGGCTGTACAACGCCACCTGTCGGAGGCATGATTGCCGCTGCTGGCCGGCGTCTGTGGCTACCTTCTGCGGCAACTGGCGACGGTGGCTGGCCTGTAGGTGATGGCGACAGTTCTCTGGGAACTTCAGGATGCGACTGGGAGGTGTTACGAGGTCGTCCTCTCAGGAAGGAGCTAAGAATGGTGGATCGTAATGGTGGTGACTCGCTTCCAGCGACAGCGTTGGGTTCCATACGACCCTAAAAATAACAAATAAAAAGGGTGGTCGTCGTCGTCGCGGACAGGGAGCTCGACGTTATTAAGGGCGTTTCCGGTGGGGACGGTGATGGTTGAAGTTCAAGTGATCAGGGACTACTGCCCGGCACACCCAAAAAAAAGTGTCTCACGCGATCTCGTTCCTGTTTTATACGTTGTGCTAAGTGTGCCTTTAAATTATTCTGCTTATTAGTGCTGTCTGTATGTTCATTCCTTGCGCTTGAAATGTGGAATAGCTAATGCTATATATGTATTTGCTAGTGCTTGGCTTTCAATATCAACGTGAAACCATCAATCAGTGGCGTATACAGGGAAGACGTATACAGTCCCGTGTACACTGCGGTCGTCATATGTGCTTCTCCAGCCTCATCGGAACGACAGAGACGGAATGAAGTTGGTGGATCTACTTCTGACATTCAAAATTCGTAGGAGGAACTGCCTAAAGTTCAATCATCGAACATAATCACACTCAGCCTCGTCTCGGATAATGTTGTCCTCCCGATGCACTCTCAATAACTGACTCAAGGATACCGTGAAACGTTGTCTCACCAGAGATGTACCCGTGGCTTCGTGTGGGGGGGAAGGATGTTATTCTGGTTTTCATGTCCCTGAGAAAGAAGCTAGACCAGAGTCCGTACTACATATCCTTGCGGGAAGCTGACTTCCCTGAGAGTGGCTTTTTACGTGCACTATATAGCTTTGCGCAGCCGTCAAGTGGGTGAGCTGCGTTCGATTTACATCCTTAAAATGCTAGCACGAGTTTTCAGGATTCTTTTTACGCACACGACCCACATACGCTGCGACTGCGGAACGCTGATCATGTCGAGCACTAGTGGGCCGACGTCGTCACAGCTGACTCGATGACAATTACAATTTACCTGTCACCCGCAAGGCTCACCAGTTACGGAACACCCTAGCGCAATGACAAGTCAAAAGGTTCGGGGGGGAGGGGAAGAATTATGCCCCGAGTTGGTTTTGGTTTACCTCGTATTCATGACATAGCAGTTCACATTAGACTTGGACACGGTAAGGAACACGGGGCGTTGTTTTCGCATCGGTGTTCCATATCTTATCCTGTATCTTGCACCGGAAGTTCGAAATGAACTTGGATTTAAATCCACATCATTTTCTACTTATTTCTTTTCTTCTTCCCTCTTCCTGCCAACCATTCTTCCCGTTCCACCCACCGCCACCCCACCGCAGCTGAAGAACTCTGCAATCTACTTCTGTCAGTTGTGGCGCATTAAAATAATATATCTCTGCACTGCCTCCTGATGCGAATCTCGGCGGAGGAGAGTGCAAGTTCGAGTCATCCTAGGAACTCCAATGGGATACTGCTGGCTTATCAATGGTGAAGAATTCTTCATTGCTCCTGTCTGTCATGTCTTCTTATCTTTCCAGGCCTCATGTCAAAACTAGCCGAACACTTGGAAACTGCAATATCTTACCACTGACATCGGAGGCCTATCAAAGCATGCTCATCGTCGATGTGACAGCATAGCGAGGAATGGCTTCAAAGTGAGAAAGTGCTTCAAACTGCCAAGCATCGAAGGCTACAGCGTACAGCTTTCATTGTTGATATGAGACACGCGACACGGAAGCTTATAGTATAGTACTCGGACGGAAGCAGTCATATACTGATTAAAAGGTCCATCGACGACCTATCTTGAGCGAGAATACCGTGCTCTCTATCGGTACGCGTGTCTCTTCTTCCTCTCGGAGAATATTTTCCACACAATCAGCAGCACCTGACTAATGAGCAATGCGACAAGAAGCAGCATGAATAGTTAGGTAAGCAAGGTTGGGTAACAAGCAGCGCTTCTGGATCAGGTGTAGTAAAAGTGGCAACACGACTTGGAAGACGTCTCAACGTAACCCGATGAAATGGATGTGATGGCATACAAGTTCAGTTGGCCATCCTAAGTGGTGTTCATGAGAATTACTGTGACCAAGGAATCCAGGTTATATACTATAGCTTGAAGCCACGCAGCCACGTGAGGATGTTCTCCAATCGATGGCTTCCAGAACCTGCACCAAACATAGATATCGCAGCCCATATGGAGGCCTCCCATTCGTGCATCATGAACGATGTGTATATAAATCTAATCATCAGAAACGTACAGGGAATTCGGCACGATCAGAGTGGAGACTTCCTGGACAGATATACGTGCATTGAGGGGGTTCCCAGTCACAGTTCGGGTTCTGAGCAGGAACTGCTGATGAATTCTGGTCGAAGCACTCCTGATCGTACATGTCTGTCTTGAACATGCAGTGATAACCATCGCGAAGAAAGAAAAGAGCCTACACACTTGTGGGCACAGAGAGAAAGATTAAAGGCTCTTCTGAAAAACTCACCGCCTTTTTTGCGGTGCTAAAGCTTAGAGATGGTTGTTCCTGGACGTATCTACAGAACTCGAGCAGATATTTGACATCCGGACGAGACGGATGCTCCGATGGACCAGGTGTTTACTCTTTTGCGCACAGCGTGAAGGTATTACACCCGTAGACTCACATAGGCAACGCAAGCGCTGAATATAGGTTCCCCAAGGCAAGTAAATGTTGTCATTACTACATTCGTTGATAGATTTTGCCATACGATCACAGCCAGAGTCAGACGGGGGGCTTCTGTAAGAGTGTATCCCAGAACTCGCGCACAGAGAATGGCAGGAGGATGTCTTGGATCCGAGAGGGGAACAAGATTTCGAAGGGCACGAGACTCGAGGCCAAGTCAAATGTTGAATGAAGCATGGAGATCGGCTGGAAGAAAGGGGTTCACAGGCATCGACAGCAGTGACTTGGTATTGCCGCTCGGCATTATGTCGGAGATTAAATTTACTTGAGTGGGTGCTCGCCACATTTGCACCCACTTTCATTTCTCCAGTGGATTTTTATGTTCATTCATCTTACGGCAACTTGTGCAAGGCTTAAAATACTACAATTGGAACTGCGGCTGATTAAATCATTGACAATCTAGATTAGATATTCCGACTCCCTGCCTCTTTACATCCATCGTGCGTACAAAGTCTGTTACTACAGAAAGGCAGCCTCTTCTCTCATTCATCGTCTCTTCGTTGAAATTCTCAATGAAATCTTTCTCCTAACACTTACGCACCGGCCCGACGGCTTTTACGACGTTTTCGATGTCGCAGCCGGACCCTTGTGTGTATGCTCGTCGTGGAGGTGTTGTAGCAGCCATTTTTTAGTGTACGATGCTCGTGTCGCGAGGACGCTACGGCCGTAAGGTTTGCAAAGAACCCATCTCGTTCTATAGGCATTGAGTCGCACCAGAAACCATTATGTCGATCTAAAACTCAACGAATCGTTTTCCAGCATTTGCCGTTTGCCCACCATCCTTGAGAGAGCCCGCTGGAGATTCCGATGATCCACTGTAGGCGGTGGCGTAATGTCGAGGTTTTCATCTCCAGTCCGTCGCGTGCGTGCTTTTCCGAGGTGTGGGGGCGATTGGACTCGCTTTGGCATGGCACGATATTCTGCGAGGAAGACTGGGACGCTTTCAAATGTCTTCGATGTTGTGCCTATATTGACCGCTTGTAGAAATCAATGCATGGGACTCCTGCCAGTCCTTTCCCTGGCATCAGACTGTTTCTTATTCTAACGGCATCAGTGATGGGAATGACGAGATCACTGTCGCATTTCTCCGTATGATGCAAAAAAAGTTCTCCTTCTTCGTGACCTCCGCATTCCTTATCAAGGCGACCCAGAGAATCCCTCAACATCCCAGCTGGCTATCTCTCCCTTCACCCATGCAAATTTGCGTGTTTTAAATCCGTGCGAGCAGAAGCTTCTCGCCGCACTGACGTTGTTGGCCCTTACAAAGATGAAGCTCGGCGGATCTGATCTGGGCTACCCGTCGAGTTTGCTTACGGAGCTTCCATACCCTCCTCGTGCGGTCCCAGCGTTCCCTCACCAAACTGACTCTGGAGAACGTCGAGATCACCCAAGTCGCCCTCGGTATATTGGACCTCACACCGCAATTGGACGCCCTTGACATCGAGTTTCTATGGACCGTGCGATCTCATTCTCCAGACACTATTCCAGCGGGTTGCTCGCCCATCCACCGATTCCAACCATGCTCCGTTTCTCGCTCATCTTGCACACATTAGACTTTGCGCGCCCGCCGTATTGCCTGATAGCACACCAACCAGCCTTCTCGAGAGAAAACATTTTTCCGCACCGACAATACAGAGAATAATTATACATACCCAGCATCCTGTAGGACTGTCCCATCCCGGCCCAAGCACGACAGTCCTTGATGGATGATATCTACACAAAGCTTTATAAGCCCTCAGGAAGTAAAACCAACTCCTCGCGAACCTAATGTCCGGCGATAGGCCTCGATCGCAGCATGAGTATTACCCATCACGAGATACACATGGCCCCATTGACGTCCACGGGTGATAATAAGTCCGATCCAGGTAGGTTAGCGCGCCAGAAGTATTTAGCTGCATTCTCATGCTTTGTTGATGGAATACGTATTGCCCTTACATACTCTGTCAACAAGCAGCCAATTGCGATATCAAACGAGCACACCAATGAAGCAACACACCTCCGGCTGATGCTTGTCCTTTTTCCTGAAACTTTTGAACATAAAACGACAGCTTCTCCTTATTGTCTATCACATAAAAGATGTCAGAGAAGAAGTCGATGTCTTCAAGTCGGTCGGGTTCTAGGGAAAGGATGTGCTCAAACTGCGCCTTTGCATCCGTATGCAGCTCTGATCAGTTCAGGACCTTAGCAATGACCAATGGGCCCGTAAAAGATGACGCTGGTTAGGCAAGCATATCCATGGCTTTTCATAGACATTACCAGTGCAGGTCGTTGAGCATCTTCACCAGAAACATGTAGACCATGGGGTGATTCGGAGGCAGTGATATCTGAAATAGAGCCTCACTGATTCCCAATCAATACGACAATCCTTTTATGATTACTGGTTTACATGAACATAAGCCAAGGCTCCTCCATTGACTGCGTGACGTCTTCAAGTAATAGAGGTATCTCGTTGTTCACAGGTGACGTAGACAGCTCCTTCTTATCTTCTGTAACGTTAGACTTGTAAGAATACGTTGTAGGCCATACACCGCTGAGCCTGTACCACTTGTACAAAGCTAGCTTTTCATGACTCTGCCAGAGACACATCAAAACAACGCGTCCTTTCATCAATGAACACACGCACCAGATACTGTCAACAGAGGTTATAATACCTGGCTTTATCACTCCTACAATCCTGTACAATGTAAATAGCGTGTTGAAACTGCTTGTTACTCACCGACTGTCGTGCTGACGCGGAAAGCGCAATATAGTCTTGCTCTGTTTGCTCGAGTTCATCAACAGAAGGCAGCGAGGAGTCGAGTGTGCGTTCGACTTTGCCGATAGAATCGACATGAACATCTCCGTGGCCTTTTACAGTTGGGAGAAATTTGAACATATAGTCGTGAAGATTACTAAGAATAGTTGAGAAATTAAAATTACATGCACTGGTGCTCTTCTCCTTTTCCTTCTCCTACACAGTCCTTCCATCAGCAAAGCACCGGTTCCCACTACCTACAAACAGTCATCCGCAGAAACTGTTGACTTGAGAGTACAGTCGGATATGACAAGTCAGCGGCGAGGATTCTGCCAGTCACTACTATGATATATTCCTATCAGCCTCCAAGTTTCTCAGAGTATCCTCTGGCAAGAACGTAGAGAGCAAATATGATAAGAAATCAAGTATGTACAACGTACCAAGAGGCAATTCCGCCGAATACATGTCGTCCTCTGAAGAATGTGTGGTACTCTCCGAGTATCGGCAATTTGACTTGACATGGCGCTATAGACGCATTCTGTGCTAATATTAAGAGGCGTTGTGGGACTGCAGCATGTAGAACAGAATCGATAGATGTTAAATCCAGTGAAATCTATGGGAGGTACAAATTGTTGTGTGCTCCGGTCATGACAAAGGATGGAGGCCAGTCAATTCCCTAAAGTTCAATGAGTGAATATGTCACTGAAGAACAAATATTGGCTACTCACTGGTAACTGACTACATACATCCCTGTAAGCTGTGAAAAATAAGCGGCAGCCGAAGCAAGACAGCTTCGACACCCCGATGACTGAAGCACTTTGGTGCTTCTTCCACCGTTGAAGGAGTGCCGCCAGCATCGCACATTCACAGTGCGGGCAGCAAGTGTATTGCTCTTCGATCCGTCCATCCCCACCACCGATGAATCGGTCAAGAAATTTCCCATCCTCGTCAGTGGTCACCATCCGACGTTTAAGCGCCCTAATTGCCGTCCCTATGTCCAACTGTACACGGCGTTCCTCAGAGCGCAGAAACACGAGCTCAGGCTGATTTCTGAATATGTGGCCACGGCGAGGCGATACCGCAAAACGGACCAATTTCGACGTTTCATTTCATTTTGTGTCTTCAAGGCCTTGCGTATGTATCGCTCGATAAGAAAAGGCACTGCAACAGTACCTGAGAAAGGATGAGCATTCATCATCTTCAACGACTAATGAGCATAATAATAGTACATGCCATCCGTGTTATCTGATGTGGGTAAAACATCCAGCGAACATATAAACGCTGCTGTGTCGGGATTGCTCAATTTCCAATTTTGAGCTATCCCAGCAAAAACTGGGGCCAACTTGTCTGCATCCCGCATACTTGTGGCAAGCCGACGAAGGTGATCGAGAGTGTTCGTTAGCTCCTTAAATTTCTACATCAGTGAGTTGGTGGCAAACATCCCTGAGGTAGACTTGCATTTGGTATGGGACCTCTTCATGATTCCTAATGATCGATGCCGGGGATCAATGAACAAATTCAAATGTATCCCAAATTTCCCAGGACTTCGGTAATCCCGGATTGGTCATCCACACGTGATCGAATCGCCTATGACTTCATAGGTCCATACTGTTGCCAGTAAGTACAGTTGTCAGTTGCTCTGGCAGCGTCGCTTCATTCCCTCCTTCTTGCGGTTCCCAACGGTTCCCTCACCAAACCGACTCTGGAGAACGTCGAGATCACCCCCAAGTCGCCGTCGGTATATTGGAACTCACGCCGCAATTGGACATGCTTGACATCGAATTCTATGGACCGTGCGATCTCATTCTCATCTTGCATACATTGCACTTTTCATAGTGGACTATATGATACAGCAACCATGTCAGTTTATGGATAGTATATTAATATTCTTCGATGCGGTGTCTACAAGATGGAGCAGCCATGTCCTCAAGCCCACCGCTATCGACGACGAGATCGCCGACCCGGCACCGGACATGCTGACACCACCTAGTTGGGGATTGACCGTACAACAGCACATCGAGGCTTTACAAAAATTCTCGATATTGTGTACGTCAACTTTGTCTCTGAAAGCAGAACTTAAAGCCAATATCGTTGTTTCTGTGTCTATTGGTTGCCTAATACAAACGCTGTGTATAAATATTTCCGTCGAACTTATCAACATAAACAAATGTCTATCAGGGAAATACTGCAAAGCGAAGACGCCCGCAGGATCACTTCAAACGCAGCCTAGCCTGGCAGCACACCAACCAGGCTTCTTCTCGAGAGAAAACCACTTTCCTCGCACAGAAAAAGCCAGAGACTTGGCCTCGAAGACCGCTGTGTGCTGTCCGTATCCAGGAGTCGCTCTACGACCCAGAAACACAAGGCCACGAACAATACACTCACCCCACAGTGACTCTTCACCCATCATCATCGACGTCGTTCATGTCCCATATCCTTGAAGGATTCGCGTCCAAAAATCTCGAGGTCAAGGCAAGCAGATCGTGTTCCACCACCAGGCTGCCTTGGAAATCGATGCGTGGATGCTTCAAGTTTCTCAACTGAGGGATTTCCTTGGTTCTACTCACTTTCGTGAGTCGACTGCTAGTCGTTGAATTACATGGTACAGGGTGCAGCTAATAGAACAGATATAGTATATTTCCATAGGAGAAATTTCTCTTGTAAGTATTGTAAGAAGCCCCGCTAATAGCCAAGACGCAGAGTGCTATAAGATACAGTACACAAACATACAAATTTAATACATTGGAGGAAAATAGAGCATAAGATGAAGATTTCAAACTGATAACAAAACCATAAAGGACTCATATGCGTTACGAACTGTCCAGACTCGTAATAGCGATCGGACAGTCCACATAATAATCAGGACATCCACCACTCCAGTTGTGTGTCATGGCCGTTTTCGCAGAAGCTGTAAAAAAACATTCAATTAGTCCATCTTCTTCCTGCGTCCTCTCAGACAATAGCTCACCAGCGTTCCTTGTCCACAAATTCCCCGTTATACTCGTCACCGCCATCCCACACGCCTTCGCCACCTCCGGACTCCCATTCGCACCCACCCTCTTTAAAATAGTGATCCCACCAGCACTCACAATCTCCCTCCTTATCGCAGCTCCCCCAACATCACCCAAAAAGCTAACAGCAAGCGCCATCTCGACGTGTATCTGCGGCTTCGGCTCATCCGCAACCGTCCTCAGGGCAGCCAAAAGCGAATCCACTACTCCGGCTTCCACCAAAACCTTCCTCGTCCCTGAACCCCATTCAGCGCAGCTAAACCTCTGTACAGCAAAAGCGAACGATCCCAGGGGTTCAACTTCATCCGAGGGGAGCACGCTCGGTAATCTTGCAAGACCGCTGGCGATGCCAGCATCCAAGAGTATTTTGGCAATGTCAGCGCTATTGGGACGCATCATGCACCCCACCGCACGCGCAGCCCACAATAGTATCGAAGGCTCTGTTGATGACGCGAGGTGCTGCGAGATCCACCCCACACAGCCCGCTTTAGCAAGTGTTTTGCCAAGCTTGATCGACCGAGCTATACGTGCGATGGCATACAGTGCCGCAGATACATCATTCGGTGAGGCATTAGGGTCAGAAGACGCGCGCCTCAGATACTCCACAATCTGCGGAATGACACCAAGGTCATTGAGCTGGTCCGCCTGGGCATCAGTGTGAACGAGAATGCCAAGACACCATGCTGACATCCGGGCGGTGAGCATAGAAAACCGAATACCCCGTTCGATGAGCATGCGGACCAGGTTTCGCTTGATCAACCCCGCTGAGATTTCAGGAGTACGGCACATGCGATGCAGACACCATATAGCGAGGGTGACAACATCTTCCGAGAGCGATGAGACGACTAGCTCTATCAAGGTGCTGACGGTGTTGGTGCGGAAAATCGTATTGGCACTGATTGAGTCGTGACTGTAAAGGAAAGCGCCGATAAGGAAATGTGAACGAACAGACAGTATATGGACTTACGCGACAAGACCAAGACTAGCCAGAACTATCTCCAAACCCTCACCGTCGGCGGCTCGTATTTTGAGAAGATAGATCAAGATTGGAACGATACCCGCGGTGACTAGTTTCTCTGCGCCTTTCTCGGACTGGGCAAGGAAATGCACCTTGACGAGACAGGAATCGATCATGTCGCGACTACGAGTAGATTGGACTTCCAATTGCAATGCACCCACCAAAAAAACCGCGTTGACAGGTTCTACACAGCACATACGTTAGCAATACTGCTAAGATTGGTTAGGCGTAAAACCTTACGTGTAACGCTGGCACCAGAAACCTCGTCGCTACGAATAGACTGTCTGTCCCATGACGTAGAGCCATTTTGGCTAGGAGCATAACCACGCCGGTTCGGTTGACGTGTCATTATGGAGTCGCTCCTGCCCAGACCCATGGGAGGCACAGACGACGGTGCATACGTACCGAGCCCACCAAAGCGCTCGCCCTCTTCAGGGTACACCGGCAGATTCGGAGAGTAAGCCTGTCCAAACGACGAATTTCCCATGTCCCAAGTTGGCATTGGATCTGCGAGATTTGGAAATGAGAACGATTAGATACTTTTCAACAAACGACATACCACGATAAGACGAAGATGGGAGGGAACTGGGCCGGGCAATGCCTCCAGAAGGGTGAGGTGAACTGGAACCAGTAGATCGTGGACTCGCGCTTCGTACGCCGCGCGGAGGAGACAAATCGAATCGAGCCGGTGCCGACTCTGGCAAGACGGAAAATGCTGGAGCCATCATAGATGAAGATGCTTCATACGTCGGCGGACTTATTTCCAGTGACCTCACAGACTGCGTCGGACTTCTGACCAACCCCGTCGTCATATCGTTAAATCTTGAGGAAAGGGCCCTCATGTCCGATGGACTTGGGGGATTTAGAACATTCAGTGTTTGTTGCCTCTGGCCTTTTCCTGGAGCATTGTCGGGAACACTCTGCCACAATCTAATGATGATGTCGAAACTTGGCCGAAGACGAGACTCTTTGTGCCACGACTCTTCGATGATCCCCCATATGTGGTCGGTCAGCCCGACTCTTGCTCCGAGGGCTGGGTCTGGACGATCAGGTCGGCTGTCCTCATATACAACGAGTTGGTATATGTGCTTTTCGGGAAGCACGCCCCACGGAAATGTTGAAGTGAAGAGCTGCAAACGTTGTTTGAAATTGTCGTGGAGATAAATTGAAGCTGTACGCACCTCATATGCGCTCATGGCAAATGCGTAAACATCGGAAGGGAACGACGTCGTCTACAGCAACAGATGAGATGGAGAGTCACATCGCTGGAGTGTGCTCACCCCTTTCCAGGCTTCAGGACTGTAATACCTATGCGCTTCTTTGTTCCGACTTGGCTGAAAATCCACCATACTCCAATCAGATATACATGCATCTCCGGCATCATTGATAAGAATATTAGATGGCTTCAGGCCCCCGTGTACGATGTTGCACTGATGAGATGGTGTTAGAAAAGCTCCCCAGCATTATATCATGACGTACTGAATGAAGATATTGCATACCCAAGGCAGTTTCAAAGACCTAAGACGGTGTAAAATATATAGACATCCGCAGGCAGAGCTATACGTACGATTTTACGTCGATCGACATTCGGATTTTCATCCAAGTATTGGCGGCTGTTCCCATGAAAATAACAAGGCATGACGATATATAGCGGATCTTGGTCATCGGGAGACATGCCAAATAATTGAGAGAGATTCGGATGACTCATGTTCTGCCATTGCTGTACGCGACGAAGTAAAGTCTGCGATGAGACAGAAGGTAAGTTTCTGCCCTCCAAATGGGAACATAGACGTACATCAGGTGAGACCTCATCACTTAGAACCTTGACCGCAACCGTACCGCCATTCAGAGTTCCTCTGAACACACTACTAGTTCTCCCACCACCCAGACGCAAATCCTTGTCATAAGTTATGTCTTCGTGAATCATTTGTAGAAGAGAGAAGGCGGCAAAAAACGGGTCGTATCAGTCAATAATTTAAGGCACCTGGCGCGCAAATGAGATACAGAAGAAATCTGTACAGATGAAAAGCCTTTTCAGGTTTCCATGGCCCGACTTGAGGTCAGTTTGAAAAGATACGGACCGGGTGATCGTTCCTTATCAAAGGTAGGAGTTCGTATTGGTTTGTCTGGTATCTTGATGATCCGAGAGAGCCGTGCTGGGCGCTAAGTGGCGGCTTCCGATGAGACTGGAACACAGCTGAGGCTGGGCATTCACTCACAGCCCCTCTTCCTCAATTTTGGTTCGGATACAACGGAAAGAGGACGATATGGCGTCGACAGTGGGAGATAATCAAGAATTGCAGCAAGTCAGGCGTAACTTGGTGATGGGAGAGTTAGAAGAAAGGATGGTATCGGCTAGCGGCAGTCGGCGGGCCGATTGAGACGAAAGTCCAAATATGGGCACTTTTAGTCTAAAATGTCATTTTCGGCCAATGGCACTTTCCACTTATCCATTTTCCATACAGCATCCATTCTGTGTATTCTGTCGGCTTTTACGCCTTGCCCTGCAAAAAGAGACTCGACGATAATTGCTATGTCTACACTGCCTTGAATGGGGGGTGAGCTTACGACCGCTGAAACGACCTCTAAATCCGAGTTGAAAAGGGGGCTGATACATTTTTGCTCTCTCGAACACCTGCGTAATAGAATTGGGGCCACCATTGGGTTCGTGCAAGTAACTGACCTTAAACAGATACTAACTTGCCGAAATTCCTGAATCTTCCATATGTGCACCCAACTGCAAAGCGATACTTGCATGTACTGTATTTATCGGAGGCTCGCGTTTCACGGACTGTGCCTTCACTAAAAATACCGTCCGCTTCCCAATGTATGGGTATATCATTTCCCAAACCAGATGTATCATTTGGCGCGGCCACAGAGTCAACTCGACGGGTCTCATGGAATCTCCGACCGGGATGTTCTTGTATAGCCGAATGCGGTTCGAACTCGTTCAGCTGAATAGTTTAGGTTCATGATTTCAACTCTATACTCTGAGCAGAATCCCATTTATGGGTGGTCTGCCTGTGAATGGCGCTTCGTCACTTTCTCCTCAACCACGATGTCCATCTACTCGCCGAGGACCTTTGTTTCTACGCTACCTGATCCGGAAGATGTCTCTACAATGGACCCTCATTATGGGAAGTCGAATGATGACACCTATCCTGCTAATCGACCGTACTTCGACGTGCCTCCACCACATGCCGTAACGGAACCACGCCAAAAATTTGGTGCCTCGGTTTATCTTACAACAAGCAGCATCGTTGGGTTTAAGGAGCGGTTCAGCCTCTTATTCTGTAAGCCTGGTTAACCTCTAACACTTTCTCTGGTTTTGATAGTAATCAGTCATCATTTTCGGGGGCGCTCTCGCAGGATACTGTCTCCATGGCGCACGGACTATGAATTTCGCGTTGATGAAGAAATACTCAGCAAGTGATTAATAGTATTTTGATTTTCAATAACTCTATCGACTGATTGTTGAGCTGCTCCTTAGGTGAATGGTTCTGGTTTGGCAAGGAGCCATTCAAAGCCAATTATGCGTTACACATATATACCGCCGTCAGTGAGTCACTGATTTCTACACTTTATCAACAGCATTTTGATAAGGTCTAGTTGGCGGAATATTCTCTCTCTTTCAGTTCCTCCCAGCAATTCGACGTGTAGGTTCTGTTCTCATTTTGAACACCTCTCTTCCTGATCTCTACATAAGCACGCTATACTTGTGCACCGTCTAAATGGTACATTTACTTCTGCCCAATCAGCCATATATACATCTAACTTTCTGCCATGCAGGATATTTTGTCCTAATACTATTGGTCCCCTCTAACGTCTGCGGCGCCATCATAGGCTACAGGGCTTTTGGCGGAGAAGTAAACTCTCAATCAGTGTATTACACCCTCGGCATACTCTCCGCCGGATGCCTTATCATGGGGTTATCAAATGTGAAGAAGAACACAAGAGAACACCGCAAGTGGATGCTCCGTACGTATACCCCAGACGTGCTTATTAGAATTACTCAACCCTCTGAACAATTGAATAGGTGGTGTGGTGATATTTAGCGTGGTCATCACCACACGTCTGATGGCCCTAGCCGCCGAGCAAATAGTAACCGACATTGGGAACTACTACACTGTGCGTGCGAACACATGTTGTGATCTTTTCAATGCATAGAAGCCTATCAGGTATTCCGATGTGACGAGCTCCGCTCCATCCTTACCAACACCACTACAGTGGAACTGCTCTTCCCCACCTGTATCGGTGAAAATATAGACCTCTCTCACACATTCGTTCCCGTCTATGCTGACGCCCGCGGCGATGCCCCCTACTCTATCGCGGCTACTCGTGTCATTCAGGGCATGTGTCTCTGGTTCGCCCTATTCATCCATGTTTTTGGATGTGAGGCATATGTGAGTCCTTCTCAAAATACACCTCAGCTCGTTCAGCTCACTCTCGCCATAGCTCCAAGCGACAGAGGAAGCGAATTATCAACGCCGCGGTTATGTTCTTGAGCAGAAGTCAGAGTCATCTTTGAGCTTGAATCGTTTTCCCCACAATGCACTGTAGCAGCACTGAGTATCAATTGGCATGCTTTATGGTTTGTTGATGGTGGCAACAGGCTCCGGCTTTTTTCAGAAATTATTTATTTATTTATAAAAATAATGATCGTTGCTAAATTATTCAAACTTCACACCTTAGCTCGTAGCTGAGAGCAGAGACCATTGACATTCGGGTATCGCGCTAGCAAGAGATACGAAAATCTGGGTAGTACATGTATTGATACAATAGTAATACTGAAAGGCTACACGTCACTATTGGAGAGGAAGACAGCCTGAGAGTCAGGTTACAAGGCCATCGAAAATCCAACTATCGCCGGCCAGAGGACAAAGAGGAGCCTAGCACCGAAGCGACGCGAATGAGCAGCAGAATACGGACGCGAGTCACCCGAGGTCGTATCTAAGGGGTCTGCGTATGCAGTCGAACCTGGTCGCGCTGCAATTCTCGAAGAATATGAAGGGCTGCTACCAGTCTCAGCTAGTGTAGTTGTGGCTTGAAGAATGAATTGGGTGACAGGGGTGGTTTCCGCGGATGAATCAGAAGAGGGGGCATTGTAGGAAAGCGGGAGACAGACGGGAAGATCAGATATGCCTGCAATCGTGAAATCGGCAGTGTAGACGATATTTTTTTGGGTCGGATTCGGATATCCAACGCATAGTACTATTAGAAGATGTTAGCGTTTTCTAGCGAAAGAAAAGAACAGAGAATAGAAAGAGAGAAGGACACTCACTAATCGCTGCCTCCATATTTAAAACATGGAGAGAGGTAAACGGTGTATGTGTGTAACTGAGTATGAACATCTGTGGCAAGGGTTGCTATGTATGTCGATCAGTGCAGCAACAATACAGACATCGTTCGTCGGTAAAGGCGAAATCGCAGACAAGACAGATCACATACATCATTTCCAGCAAAGAGCTCAACTTTGAATCATCCCATTTCCTTCGCGTCCTTGAGCGTCGAGCGCCAACTGAGAAGGGCAGGTTGGTTGACGTCGTATACGGCCGCCGCGTTGGGCTGGGTTGGATAGATGTCCGCGCTCGCTGTTGGGATGTAACAGACAAGAATGACGAGAATGAACCAAGTGAGAAAGGTTTGAAGAACGACCGGCGATAGGCAGAGAATGGGAACGGGAACGGACATCGTGGTAAATGCTAAGTTGGATTTCCAGCTGGATCCAGGCTAAATTAGTCGGACCACGGTCACGGTCCGTAAATTCCGGGTGGACTGCTATCTCTCAATGTCATCGTCATTGATCCCACACCTCATCCCTGAGGGCCAGTTCATCTTTCCTCTCCTCTTCCGGAGATTCGAGCTATGACAACCCGAGAAGGTAATGCAGACTCTCTTGATCCCCGTGACTCGACGGAGAAACTCGCAGCGCTCAAGCAGCAAATGCTGAGTGTTATGGAACGCACCTTTAAGAACCGGTACCTCCAGCCGGACAAGCTGACTCTGGTGTCACTTAAACTCGTGCAGAATTTGGCGGACCATTCGTCTGAACAACGGGGTCACATCATCGCCTTCTTCCGAGCGCTCGCTTTGTGTCACACAGTCCTTTCCGACAAACCCGAGCCCCAGGAGTTACCGTATCACTTGGATTATAAGGCTGAATCGCCGGACGCGGCCGCGCGAGACATTGGGTTCCCCTTTGTCAAGAAATCGAAGGATACTTTTGACACAGAAGTCATGGGCCAGTCGGAGAAGTACACGCTTTTAAAGGTCCTCGAGTTCAACAGCACGAGGAAACGAATGAGTACGGTTTTCCGATGTCCAGATGGACGGTTGATCCTTTACTGCAAGGGGGCGGATGGTGTTATTTACGCACGCCTTGCACAAGACCATGACCCCGTGCTGAAAGAACAGACGAGCAAGGACATGGAGATGTTTGCTAACAATGGACTCCGGACGTTGTGTATCACATACCGCTGGCTCACCGAGGAGGAGTATTTGACATGGTCTAGAAAGTATGACGCTGCCACTAGTGTCATTGAAAACCGGGACGAGGAGATTGATAAAGCGAACGAACCTATCGAGCACTCGCTGCAAATACTTGGAGCTACCGCTCTGGAAGATAAGTTACAAGGTGTCCCAGAGGCCACCGAGGCCTTTCATCGCACCGGGATCAAGCTGTGGATTCTGACAGGTAAGGACGTGGTTACGTCAGATGTCCCGACGGGAGCAAGAAGATAATTGGTGCGGGGAAGGATGCACCAGCGTACAAGTTGGCGTTCGCCGGCTCAATGGGTGTGGACATTAAATTATTCGTGGACAGTTGCAGACCCCTTGCGTCGTTCTATCTGGTGGTATTGCTGGTTTCGTTGGGAATCCTGGAGGTACGCGTTACGCGTCATGTCCCGAGGTGCACGCGTCTTTATCATGTAGATCGTCATGGTGCGTCTCCAGGGAGATTTCGCGAAACCACTGGAGAAGAGATTCAACTACAAGAACTGCATCGATGCACTGTTTAGGGTAAAACTGCTCGTAATCTCTCGTCCATGACGAACTTGTCGGATTCATAGATGGTCCGTGAAGAGGGTGTTTCTCTTGGTCGTGGAGTGGGGCCCAACATGTTCCGTTCCATTCCAATGAACGCCAGTCAGCTCGCTTCGTACGGGTATCCCTTTGCTCGCACCACACAGTCTTTAAACATGTCATCAGATATGATTTCTTCAAGGCTGAGCTCTTGAAGACTCCGTATTCCACGACAACATTCTTCGCCATTTCATGGCGAGCTTTGCTGTAGTTCGTAGACCCTTACTTGTGCGTTCCGTGTGCTAAAACTATGTAGGGTACCGTCGTGACGATCGTCTGCTCTCCCGCTGACATATTAAAGGTTTGTACTCTTTTCGATTCGCGCAACGGGGCCTGACAGGACACATTCGTTAGAGTCTCATCATGAACGCATCAGGACCAGGATCGAATGTGAGCTTTTCGATCTTCTTGTTCTGGCTGATCTGATTTTCTGTGTTTAGTCTACTCTTGGTGTCATCAAGGGTCCAATGTTCATGTTCAAGGGCTTGTTGCCAGCTTGGACTCGTCTGCAACCGACGATGATCCTCATCTTCTTAACATTGGAACAGTTGAAGAACGGGGTTGATTTCTCGAGAAGCAGGGGGTATACCTTCTTGTGAGGTTCGATAGATGTGAAGTGTGCTACTAATATTAGCGATGTATACCAGAGTGGACATGAATCTTGTGAATTTCGATCAATCAAATGTCAAACTCTCAGATGTCTGGAGCGCACTTTATCACCCGAAATTTTTGTCTCATAAGTAAATTAGGAAATAAATGTCTCGGTCACGGTATTTATAAAGAGAAGGACCTCAAAGCCCCTGCCCTGAACTTTGTCCATGACTACCATGAGTACCTCACAATCTACCCTACAACGTGCAGTTTGGACACCTAGATTACCGCTGGAGCTCACAGATCAAATAATTGACGCTCTTTCCGATGATGTTTCCTCTCTCAGAGCTTGCGCATTATCCTCTCGCCAACTCCTCTGCCACAGCCATTATCACCTATTCCGCGCCGTATGCTTCGATTTCATCCCACATCGGTCATTCAATCACTACGAAAAATTCTCGGAGAAGTGCCAAAATGTGGCGCCACTTGTAAAGAGTCTTACCTTGAGGAGCGAAAATGATCCCCAGGACATAATCCCCTCTCGTACATGGGTCACCTCCGAACTGCAGCTGCCTATCGTCTTTGGAATGATGAAGAACTTGATGTCCTTGCATCTTGTCAAGATGGAACTAGTCGGCATTAATATCATCTGGCCTGAAGTCGAGGAATTGGAAATGAAATGTTGTTCTGTGACGAACCTTGGCACCTTCCTCAGCGGGTTCCACAAATTAAAGAAGCTAATGCTTTACGACGTAGAAATTGTTGAAGAGACATCTTCATCATCTTCAGTTTCTCTTGACCTTGAAGAATTAGTGATCACCCAAGGCAACACCCAATCAGACGCACATACTATCAAGTGCCTCCTCCCGCTCCTCTCCACGCCATCCCGTATTCGACGGCTTACCTACCCACTTTACTATCCAGTGTGGAACATCCCACAATACGACGTGATTCCTTATACGCACCTGGATGAGTTGTTTCTAGTGGGAGCCTCCGATCCAAGGAAACCTGTTCCGGATATCCAAAATGTTACTAGGCTTCATTTGCGTGTGTTCACCCCCTGGTACTTTTGCTGGAATCTGGGGGATGAATGTGAAACCTATGACAAGCTAATAGATTGGCTCATACACCTGCTACACAAAGCCCAAGGGGGGTGCTTAAAGGAAGTCGAATTGGAGTATGACCTGATTGGCATATCTGGGAGTCCGCACAAGTGGGCAGAGCTTGATGCAGTTCTATCGAAGATGGAATTGAGCAAGGTTGACCTCGTGTTCAGCACAGCTCCATATAAGTGGGAAAGAAGAGAAGAAGAGAAAGCCAAGTGGAAGCTGGAGGGATTGAGATACAAATCTGCTGTGTTCTTTGAACAAGTTAGAAGGCATGGGTTGTTGACAGTCTACAGAAAATACTAAGTTATGTTTGTATGTTTGCTACTATCTAGACACTGCTATTGCATTTTGGACATTGAATCAGTATACAGGATACAAATAATACAACTTGTGTTTTTCATTATTATGAATCAGAACATATATATCAGTGAATATGCTGAAAGGTTATGAGTCACAGCTGTGGGTTTCAACCGCCTTTCATGACTAGGATCGCGACAAGATTAAACCAACAGTGAACACCTAGCAGTCCTTGTCTTCGATTCAATAAAAATACATCACCATTTGAAGGTGTCAAAATTTGTGTTTGCTGCAACCTGCAGCATTCCAAGCGAATTGGTTGAAGCCACGAGGAGAAGGCCAGTGGAAGCTGATTCGGCTGTTCCTGTAAACAAAATCAATCCGGCCGCCACTGATGGGTAGTCAATGTCTGGATTATCGCACTATACAGATCACCACTAGCAGAAGCCGCATTTACAGCCTCGATAAGCTTATCCAAAGCATCGCTTGGTACCGTGGAGAGTAGTCCTATCCGGGGGAAGTCCACAGAGGGGTAGGGCAGCTTGCCGTAATGAAACGAGGACAAGGCACTACAGTCGGTGTGTACATTAAACTGGGATCAATAACCAACGCTGGCGGAAGACAAACCTTTTCAAAAATGGATCACCAGCTGTAGAGATAGCTTTTACTGAGATAAGGGAAGGGAGAAAACTTGAAGAAAAATCTTGCCGTGAGTTCAGATTGCTCTGGGCAAGTCGGCGCCTTGACATTTCATGTGCCTGGAAGAAGGAAAGAAAGCAAGTCCGAATCGTAAGGATCACGCTCGTTAAACGCGTGGGCCGGTCCCGCCGTCCCGAGAGACAATCTTGCAATAACGATTTTGCCAAGACCAATAAAAGGTCCTCTGACTTTTCACCCGCCCGCCTCTCTCATAGACAACCTGTTATCTACTCCGATTTACTACTTCATGTGCCTCCCGTAGTTGGCCTGTCGTGATCGTATGTAGCTTTTATTCCAATCGTTGTTAATTTTTGTTCTGACACATTCGTAGAGAGACTAGGCCGAGGGCATTTACTGTCTTGGATCGTGCACGTTGACCATTGGTGGTTGCCAACCATATCATCCTCTCTTCTGCGATCTTCCTACGCCAACCTCGTGACAGTGTGGTTCGGTAAGCAGTCGTTTTGCATATCAATGAACGCGTACTCATATCAACTCTTCGTCGTGGTAGAGGATCAATGACTAGCATATCCTTTATAAATAGATACTGAAGTATCGCAGTTTTAGCTCGACTTGGTGTACAAGCTTGAGAACGATATGCCGCTCAATGGCACAACAGAACATCAACAGAGGGAAATCCAGCAATATTGGCATGTTTTCTGGGCACCCCAGAAGCGACAAATACGGATATTGGTGTTCGCTCTCAGGAATACATGACGCCCTACACCAAATATAAATAGGTCCAAAGTTATAGGTAATCGCTATCCACCCAATCGGCATAGTCACTACCCAAAACGTCCGATATCGTGTAGCCGCTGGTCGAAGTAAGTGTTGTGGCAAAAGATGCGCGAGTGCCAGAAGCGCCGCTTCCTGGAAAGAAAATCTCAGGCACGAAACATCTTCAAGATGTAGCAGCATCAACGTACCAGTACTTTCGTATTCAGCAAAGGTGACATGATCGGTGTTGGGTTCACTGCTGGACCATTCTTCCCATCCAGCACTGTTGATCAGATTTCCGAGAGAGCAAGATGTATAGACGACCCTGATGATCGATGCTCAGCAACATACCATTATGCACAGAACATTGGGAGGCATACCGAGCATAGTCTTCCCATGGGCGTCCAAGATATACCTTCCCTTTGAGAGATGTCGTCGCCGAGCTGCTAGTAGTGATAGTCGCTTTGTTGATGACAACTGAGAGCAACAGTAAAATCTAAATGCGAAATGGACAGATTTAAATGACTTACATAGACTTACTCCGGACGACGATGAACGTCCGTTAGCGGTGATCGCTCCAGCACCTACGGAAGCAATCACGTTGTAGTGGAAGTATGCCCGCGCATATTGTCCAAAAATGTAGTCGACAGCTCCCTCAATGTAACAGTAGCCATAGAATTGGTTGCCCGTTTCGGCGAGTACCGTGTCCTGATAGCTGTTCGCTATTGGTCAGGTACTTGCATTGGAACGGGATATAAGAATAATTTACCTGTAGAAGCCCACACCGTAATAACTTTGATTTGACCCATATGCACTCAATGCTAACGCCTGACCGTTAGTGCTGGCCTCACCAAACTAGAGAACATATGATCAAAAAGTATGCTCATGAATCAGTCACAGGCGCACCGTATTTTTCACATCAACGTTGTATAGGGCAAAGTTATCCTTGTGTACACGTAGTGTCCCAGTCAAATCATCAGTGCCCGCTGTGCCAAGAGAGCTCGAATATGTGATGGTAACCGTATTGCTCGTGTAGCTGCTGGTATCGGAGGTCTGGCCCATGATCTGAGAACTGGATGTCAGTGGCGCTGGCCGACTCTGGCGTTACAACAGTGCACATACAGTCGTTTGGCCATCCCGATCAATGTAGACTTGTTCATTGTAGGTACCTAAACAGACAATCAGTCTCGATACCAATATTCAAGGAAGCTAGACTGGCCTTCATAAATGAAGATAACCTGATCAGTATCGTCGTCAGGGAGCGAGTCCACTGCATCCTGAACCGTGCTGTATTCTCCCGACGACGCTCCACTAGCTCTCACAACGACAGAACCGCTGGGCGCAGAAGTGCGGCTATCTCGCTTGACGGCGGGGGTCGCCTCCACGCCATTGGCGGCGAAGATAAAAAGAAGGGAGAAGAACGTTAGGGCACGGATGGTAAAGAACGCCATTTCTGTTTATAATGGCGTTCCCGCCATCCTTAAATACCAAGCGACAGCGGCTCTAACCTGGATCATCAATGTTGTTTGACCAACCAGGCGCAGCAGAGGGACCAAAGTATTCGCATTCAGAAGATTCCGTCCGAGGTTCGACCGAAGAAAGCAGATGTTCATGACGTTCGAAATTTTTTGGCGTAGCCAAGGTACAGTGCTAGGCCAAGCAGGATACGGTCCGGGCGCAAATTTATTTTTCGCTTATTCCAAACGAACGGTTGAAAGAACAAAAATTAGTCAAGTGGGCATTGGGCGCGACTGAAATATTCCGGATTTTTGCAGATCTTTTTCCTGATTTTTTTCGAGATCGTAAGGAAGGTTGTCACTTCTAAATTCTGCTCTCGGGCCGGCTGAGCTTCCTCGTCGGGTTCACGTGCCACGCGTCACGGTCCGGCGCGGATCTGGCGGCAAACTCGGTCTGAGTTGAACATTTTTCAAGCAGAATCAAACTGGTGCAGTCTACACATCTAGCACTATTCATGCTCAGTTGAGAGCCGTAACTATTAACTTGGAATACCTTTAGCAGTTCCTCAGTTCCTTGTGTGCAAGCCATTGATTATATGAGACTATGACCGACAAATCTACCCTTTGGGCTTCCGCACAAGAATTCAAAATAACTACTTTGCCTTTCATCCATTGATATATGAAAAAGAGCTTTCCAGTACTGCTCAGGCAATATTGAGGAGGGTGGATAGAGAAATACAAATCAGATGGACATGCCTCTGTGCTGTTGGATTTCATGCCCTTCCCACTCCACATTCCCGTATGTCCAGAGAAAATTTTAAAGCAGCGTGAAGACATATCGCAGGGCTTGAACCTCGGAACACGTTCGAGATCTCCCTCAACTGCTAGGCACTGAGTCAAAGAAAAGAGGTGCACGTATGCAAGCTCTAATTCTGAAGGTTGTCGCGGAGAGGAGACATGAACGAAGATTAGAGTCGGTGGTGCGTGAGTAGTAGAACGAAGAAAATTTACTTTACACGATTTCTGGGGGAGCGGGGAAGGAAAACAGATGATTTAGGGTCGATGAGTACGTGTCTTCTTCCCGAGTGGATAAGCCAGGACCGAGGTGAGTAGTGACACATTGTGTTTCATCCATTATGGAGCCGACGAGAGAACGTTGGAAAGGATATTGAGCAAGGTGCAGGACTCGACGTTAGCCTCGTTCTGTCTGCTCAACCTCTGTCATGAACAGATGCAGGTGTGTAAGAAGATCCAATTGTTAATCGGGGACTTGACTTGGGACCAAACTTTGATGAGAGAGACGAGAAAATCCTTCATGGAATGGAAAGGGACGCGGCTTGTTGCATTACTGCGCTGTCGAAGGCATGCATTTGCGATGTTCCTGTCGCACTGTATGATGAGCTTGGAGGTCGGTATATCGAACGCCCTGAGCAATGATCAGAATACAGTCTAGACGACTCGGATAATAGTGAGGAACACCCATTCCGTACGTTTTATATATCTACTGCCGAGGCTGTCTGCTATTCAAATCTGAGCATGTCATGGAAGAGTGTATAGGTCGTCCACTCAGGATGCACTAGGAGTGTTACGTTCGGCAGCTGCAGCGTGACGCTTAGTACAGGAGATTTCCTTTACACATTGCAAAATTCGCAAGTTTTACTGCCGCAGAGACATTTAGGTCACCTGTAGCAGCTTCCTTCCTGTACGAATTACTTAAATCTGTGACTTGCAGACCCCACAACAACTTGAAATGGCTATCGGAGCCTCGGACCGGAGTGACAACAGCCACGTGCATCGTCTGTCACACTACGTGACGACAGCTCTACTTGTTTCCTTATCCTCAGAGCCACCGTCACGAACAAAGACACTTCACTAGAGTAAATTCTCTTTTGTGTATCCAATCACATCGATTTCTGATATCTACGATATTCTCAGGACTGTATGGCCGATGAAGCTTCTCAATTTGAAGTATCGGAGCCAGAAACGCAATTCGTCCCAAAAAGCGATGATGAAGAAACCTTGTGGACAGTCTTGGAGATTCTGCAGGAGAAGGGAAGACGCTACAAGGTGAGATGGGATGGCGTTGACCCAGAAACCACAAAACCGTGGGGGCCCTCCTGGGTGTACAAACACGATTGTACACCAGACCTTGTTGCAGAATGGAAGAGGAAAAAGTTGAAGAAGAAGAGAAATTGTCAGTATCGATATTTTATTGATTTTCTCTATCTTATTTGTGTCAGCCACAAAATCTCTTCACGGTGGATCCGCTATATCTCGCATTTCGAAGAGCGATACTCTTTCAAAAGCTTCCACTGCGTCCTCTTCGACAGCCAAGCCACATAAATTGCGCCAAAGTGTAGCTAACCATGAGATGGACTATAACTCTCCTCCAACGGCTGGGCCTTCCAAGCCTCGCCAGACATTGACCAAGAAATCTCAACCTCTACCCGAACCTGAATCCGAGTCTGAAGGGAGCGATACCAACTCGATCCAGAGACCTTCTTACACCCCGAAAAAGCATAAGCGCGTCTCCTCCGATTCTGATGATCTTCCGGATGTTGCCACGCTTGTTCGCAGTCCATCCAAGAAGCGGAAGCTGAACGAACCTCCACGTCGCAACGGTAGTGGACGTGATAGTGATTCGGAAGATCAAGCGCGTGGTAGTATGGGCCCTCCTCAGAAAAGGAAGAGTATTTCCAAGGGACCGACTGAAAATGGAACGAAGCCGGGTAGGAGTCGTGAAGCGTCTGCAGCATTCAGCGCCGGGAGGAAATCACCATCAAATTTGGAACATGATGCAGGTGGACGTGCCGGGTCTTCGAAGGTCAGCAACAGAGGGTCGATTGGGAGTAGCAAACAAACTTCAAGCCGTGGGCGCGCCCTTAACGGTTCTAGAAAGTCATCTTCGAAGTCCATGTCCCGGGCACCATCTCGGTCCCCATCAGGTGAAGAAGAGACATCCGTTGATGCTCCTAATGTAGAGCCACCTTCGAACCCTACCATCACGGTTTCGACAAAGCGGTCGGATCGGATCTATCGAAATCTTTCGCCTTCAACAAGTCTTCGTCTGAAACAATGGGAAGATGATCTTGCGTTGATAGATAAAGAAAAAGAAGAGGCTGCTGCAAGAGCTGCTGCTGATACTGCCGCCTCCGTACCGACCCCAGGTCAAGATGGAATCCCCCCTCCGTCATCGCCACTACACGATCAGCATTCTCAGCCGAGCCCTGGCAATGACTCCTACCGCAGGGGTGTTATTCCAGCAACAGACACCGAGTCTTCGAATAACACCCAATCACAGTCTCGGCAGATTGAGTCTCGGCAGATTGCGTCTCAGGAAAGCCACCCATCGCCGCAAAAGACTACATCCCTTGTCAAAAACATGAAAGGAAAATCTCCGTCTAAGGCTAATCTTAACGAGAAACCCAAAGGTCCAATCCCTCAGGTTTCGCCATCCAGGTTTTCCCCTTATCTACGTTCTCAGCCTGTTGGTGAGAATGGAGAAATACCGAGCTCTATTGAGCAGTTTAGCTCGCCTGTGAGACCCTCAGGAGAGGAAATTGTGATGAGTGCTAGCGCCATCGAAGACGGCCGCGATGAGCAGCTGCGCGATCGAGGCGCGCAGTTGGCTGAAGAGGCCCGGACGAAGATGAAGGGCCCTACAATAAAGAAGCTCTCGCTATTGGATATCCAGAGACAATATAGAGAGAAGGAAAAGGCCAGGGCCAAGGGGAAGGGTCAAGAGCAAGAGAAGGTGCAAGTCATTGAATACTCAAACTCGAACGAGAATACGCGGACCGACCCGGACGATGAGGCTGATGACGATGACGGCGCGAGGCCTAACGACGAGAGTACTAAGGCGTTGCTTCGGCGGGAGGAGGAAGAATCATCGCAAGACATCCTTGCGGAATTGGGGCGTGCTCAGGCTGGTCCCAAGCCTGTTAATGAGCCTCCGATCGTTCTCGAAGCCAACGATGTCCCAATGCAAATTGACGAAGTAACGGTGAGCTCTGGTTCATCGATCAATTTCTGTACGGTTCTCACTGGTTCATCAGGACTTAATGTACCCCACAGAGTCCTACATTAATGATGGACCACCTCATGCTACAACAAGCATAGGACTCAGTGGTGAAGATTTAGTAGTGCCCGCATTGAAACCAGCCGAGAACGATAATCCGGTCCCGCCTACATCGCCTCCTCCACCAAGAGTGTTGGAACCACGAACTTCTCGGCTATCGCCTGAGGTATATATTTCTCTGCTTCTTATCTTCAAGTAGTTCTTACCGCCACTCGTAGGACGAGCCTGAAAAAGATGATCTACGGTCTCAGCTAGCCAGGGCTTTGAAAGTCCTCAACGCCAAATCAGAGGAAATTGTCAACTTGGACCGTCTGTTGGTAGTCGAGCGTGAGAAGAATGAGCTTCTTCAGAAGCAAACGACAGTCCAGGTGCTCGATGAGCAGTCCGAACGTGATCAGTCGACCATCCGACTGCTCACCGTTTCGCTCGAGGATGCAAATAAGGCCAAGCTTGCAGCAGAGAACGACCGAGACTTCGTCAGGGAGCAGTACATGAACGCATCAGCATACGTTACCACGGTGCGAAGCGAGAATGCCGAGCTGGAGAAACGCGCGCAAATTGCTGAAAAACAAGCAACAGGGGGCGTGGCGCTTATTCGTGCGACATTTACGGAGCGCATCAGGTTTCTGGAAGACGATGTCAAGTCTTGGAGGCAGATGGCTGACTTTGCGGTTGCCAAAGATAGTCGGATGAACGATGATATCCGACGGCGTGCGGCAGAAGCGCCTGAGTTGGAGCATCGCAACGGGAAGCTGAAGGAGGAAATTGACGAGCTCAACGCGCATATCGGAGAGCTGAATACCGAGCTTGCGAAGAAAGACGAGGAGATTGCTGAGTTACATGTGCGGCTGGAGGCGGAGATCTCGGAGTTGGTATACCCATGCCATTGGCGACCGGTGGGTGGAGAGGGTGCATGTGGGGCATTGCTAAGAAGTAAGGAGGTAAGGCCTTTTTTTGAATGGATGATGTAGACACTGAACACATCACATCGTTGATAGGAATTGGAAAAACACATACTGACGGCAGCAGGACATCTATAATATTTCTGTCCGTTGTATCTCATATCATGCTTGTCTCATAGTTTGACCTTTGGTTTCTGTACATCTACTTATGTGGTCTTGTGGTTCTCATGTACATTTATCTTGGTGGCGTGGGGATGATGGTCGCTCTATCTTTTGTCATCACTGCTTGGCGATATGAAGTACGCGTCACTGAGATGGTACGTTTTCGCTTGATATTCTTATCTTAAGTTCAATGTTGAATAGACTATTGTCAGACATCCAAACGGACTCCAGCAGGCTCTACGTTCGTCCGGGTGGAATTGAGCATACGCTGTGGGAGAACCAGTGGTCAGTCGTACCCTATGGTCTGACAGTCGAAGGCCTGAAGCGCGTTCTGATCATACAATTCTGTGGATTTTGCATTCTAAAATGCGTGATTCATATACGTACGTACAACGATGTGGTGTACGTGGCCTGATATTGGTGTATTCTATTTAAAGACGCTTGACTTTCCGCTGATGTGCATGTTCGTTGTTCGGCAAATTGAGATTCTCCCGTATGATCACCCGCTACTTTCTCATGCATAGATACTAAAATACAACAGTAGACTTATTGAACCTGAGCTATCCTGCTACTAGGTCCAAGACTCTTTGGCCAAACAATGCATGCAGTTTTTGTTTCTGATCCCTCTCGCTGGGTACACTGCATCATCCCTGTGGGACGACGACAACGATGCTATACAGGGAGCTGGGTACCTTCATGCGTACATGACATGGTATCCGAGATGCTATCATGGGGGGAATATACTACCGCGGACATTTTTCATGTATCCTTTGCATCAGGACGTAACTGAGTCAACGATACGAGGCAGGCGCACTCGTGCAGCCATCCGACTTCCATTCCACGATGCATGTTGATTGCTGTCTATCCGAGTTGACCGTCGTTTTGAAAGGACCCTCTTCCTCAAGTTTGCAGGTTCTGCCGACGGCAATGCTGATGGATCCATCATAACGGACCCGGAGGAGGTTTCTCGCTCTCAGAAACACGGCCCTCAACGTACTGTCTTCTAGCTAGCCGGTGTCTTCAGCGTTGTACGTCTACTTGTCAGCCACGGCCTTTCATCTTGTCAAGTCAATATTCTACTAGCTCGCATGCCCCGGCGGTCCACGGATCAGAACCTGCGTAGGCCATCTTTCTTCGGCGGAACATCAGCCCTGTGGATGTGCTGTTTCGCGGCTGGGATTTGGTCCATGAATTGGTGGTGATCATCATTGGTGCACAGACCACCGGGCGCCACAGATTCTTAGATCCCGCCTGGCCAACAGAACATTCGATTTTGACAGTGTGATGTTAGTTTCTGTAGGTCATCCGACACATTTGTGGTCATTTAACGTTGTCAATTTCAGATTCGAAGATGAAAACGGCGGCGCAACGACGCAGGGTGAGGGCCGTCGTGTGTTTTTAATGTATGCTCACATCATCACAAAGGCAGGGTCGTTTCATCTCCCAAGACGTTGCCTTTGCGACGAACAAAGTTTGATGATGAACGCTTTGTCGGTTCAAGAGGCTGGATAATTGGTGAGACTTTTTTTCCTGTTATTTTCTCTCCTTTGTCTTCTCCGAGAGTGGGTCCCTAGGTGAAACTTACTGCATTTCAAGTTATTGTTCTCCCCGTGTCCGCAGTGTCAATATTGTCAAGGTGATATGCGACCCTTGCCCTTGACCAATACCCCTTGCCGATCGAAATATTAAAAGGCGGATATTATAGGGTCGGAAGGCGTTATGACGTTCGAGAATGGGGCCGATAATTGCGATCGCGTGGGGCACAAACGAGTCGTACCTTGCTCCTGTCCCTTTGCCGATCGCTTCTGTGGCCAGAGACAGCAGACAGAGGAAGATTGTACAGCAAGAAGCTGCAAGACGTTGGTGCCGAAAGGAATACATGCTGATAAGAAGCAGTTACACGTTCCCTCACTTTTACCGATCAGACAAATGGGATGTCGAAAAATGCCAATGGATGACAATATTTTGCAGGACGGACGATCATTAACAATACCCAATACGATACAAGATTTGTGCACGATATCTAAGAGTAGTGAGTACATCTTGCCAAATATACTAGTACAACATGGTGATAATCCCAAGGATAAACAGATCACAAGAAATGTGATGAAAGAGAGACATCGAAAGGATTAATCCACAAGATGAATGGTAGGCAACGTAAGTGGCTGTTTATCGACGATAGAAGGGGGACGGTGCCATGACTCTGCTACGAGGTGCATGGGGTTCACCTCCTTTACCGTCGATGTGCGGGTGGCCGCGATTGGAGGCTGAGAGCTGAAAATTCGAGTGGAATAAGGATATGATTAATGAGAATCAATGTACAGATTAACTCACCGCCAACACAAGCATGCTCTCAGCCATGCACAGTCCATGTTATGACACCGCCATACTCGCCGAGAACAAATGCAGAGGGAATTGAAAAAGGTTTCCGAGAAAGCTTCAGATACCGTGGCTGGCTCCGCCGGCAGAGATTAATGTCTGTTTTTGCGCAGAGTTATAACAGCTCACCTTGGCGACATTTTGGGCACTTGCGAGGTATCTGGTCGCCAGTTGTAAGAAAGCGTTTCCAGAAGCCCACTGCGGAAGTATATTAGTGAGTACCGCCGGTGATGACCACGAACAGGGGGTGCTTACAGTGACAACGGCCTGGAGGATCGTTAGTACTAAGCAAAGCAAGGTATAAATGCTGGAGAACACCTACCAGCACCAATACCGTCTCCTCTCCCCCCCAACATGATGGAAGAAAGAAAGAAACAAAGGGGAGTGGAAGAGAGGACAGCTGTAATAAGCAGAAATATGTAACCTGGCCCGCACGGCTTGTCTGGGACTGAAACTGATATGAAATGGTACCGTCACCCTGCACCTTGATTGGATGGGAGTTTTCTTCGTGGGAAGCTAAGTACCAACCAATCGAGAAAAAGAGAAGACATGCAATAGAGAAGTGATTCCACGAGGACCGGATCGCGTTTGATGGTGATTAGTGGTCATGGCTTACTCGTGGTCGACAGAAGCTTTTCTTTTGAGTCGCAGCCCCTTCTGACTCGAAATTTTATTTGCTTCAGAGCGACTGGAGACCGTTGAGACGTTCTATTTGTCGGAGGGATGTTTAATTAATACTCGCCCTTGCGGACGTACATACATACCCGATCGCCAGGAGACCCGCTTCGATAGTACCTACAGTTCTTTTTGTCCAAAATACGGTAGCCAAGTTGGAGTACTTAGATCGAAATGCCAAGGCTGGCCGTCTGTTATATTGCTCTGGAACTGTCGGCAATCTGCTAGTAGAGAGTAAACCCAGGAGCAAAATTTAAAGGCCGAGGCCCTTCCCCCGCTGTCCGGCACCGAGAGCTATACAATAGCATTCATATATCCGCAAGTGCAATCCCTCCGGTGTTTCAGCTTGTAAAGCATACAGATCAGAGTTTTGTATTGCGACAAGGTGGGAGGATCGAAGGCGCCTCTCCGAAGTACGAGACGGCCGCGCCACCACCAACTCCCTTCCTACCATTTAGGTTCTCAACTCTGCGGCCTACGCTGAGGATTATAGCTACGGGTCGAATGCCCGGGTTCGATCCTAGGCAATAAATATGCCTTGCTGATGGCTGATAATCGGACATTTCGCCGCTGTTTCTAACTTGTCTTTCTACGATCTCCATGCCGTCTTCGAAAGCTTTGAAGGGACTGCGCTTCGTTGCTCTCGCCCTAGTCTTTGCGACTGGTGTCGCAACGGGAGGCGTCGGTATGGTCATTTGCCTATATTATCTTACCTGCATATCTGACTTCTGAGTCTACTTTACAGCATTGAACTGTTTGAACAAAGGCAAAGATGAACAGGACCGTATCAATGAGAATTTACCCAACGAAGCATGCAGCCAGCTCCTATTTCTTCCTTGCACATCTGTAAAAATCAACGTCAAGGGTAGACTTCGTCACTTCATCTCAACTATTGCTTTTTCTCCTAACACGCGCCCACAGATCTTGCTGGCTCCGCGATAGTAGTTGTTCTCGGCGCTCTCTTATCTGTCATTTTTTCTGTTGTTTACATGGTCCTCCCTCGGCTTCATACCTTCGCTTCCAACCCTTCCAAGCTCAAGTTTGTCGAACCCCTCTCATGGGCTTTCTCCACTATCGTACTGATGGGGGGGTTAATACCTCTTACTGTATTTTTCGCCACGCGGAAAGCTGGCATCACCGTGATGCTCGGTGATCTTAAAGTGTCGACTCAGATCATTGATGAGCTTCTCGTCATTCTGCACGAACAAACGACATACAAGCACATTGGCTACCGTGAGTGCTTTCTCTATCCTTGCGCTGCAATTTCATTCATTACCGTATAGTGAAACCTTTGGTTATCGTACCGTGGTTCACGATGTTCTTTTCGGCCGTTGCGGGCGGGCTAAGCCTGCTATATCATCGCCAGCCTGGGCCCGCCATGCAACAAGATGGTTTGCTTGATAACCAGGCGTACAGACAAGAGAAATTCAGTCGGCTAAAGAAGATAGGGCTGGTGCATAATAGTATAGTTTCGGAAGCGGTGCGCTGCTAGTTTGCGACCGCTAGAATTATGATGTAATATTGGGCAATTGTTTCTAAAAGTGTATTAGTGCACGATGAATGATGGCGGGACCTTCTAGATCTGCACCATACATTGCGTGTCGGGACGCAGCCGTTTACGTTTACAAACTCGACGTAGTGGGCCGATCCAGAGTTCGTGCACCGCTGATCGTTTACTACGAATCCATGGGTGACTTACGATTGGAGTCGAGGTCTTTGTAGTAGAGCGGGACACAACGTCCATCTCAGTCGGGTTAGAGGACGCCATCCATCGGTACGTCTGCATCATCTATCGGATGTGCAGGCTCGATGCAGTCCAATCCCATTATAACGTAAGGAGCATACCACAGTCCCCCGTAGTAGAATAGAAAGGCGAGGCGTAAGAGTGAACCAGACCGTACTCACTATCATCAGTGCGCGTCATGTCTACCTCCAACGATTTTTTCCCTCTCTCTGCCAGTAAGCCTAAAGGGGCCATAATCAACTAGTCATTGGCCCTGGTAGTATGCACGAAATGTGTTGTCGCCTCCATCTATTACGACTCGCTCCCGACGTCGATGACGCGATGATGTTTCCGCCTTTCTAGTCGGCGATATTACTCGCATCGGCGGTCCGCGGAACGTCCTCTTATCACGAACACTGGTGGTTTGGCGCTCTCTGGTCCTCGAGAAAGGCTCTGTAGAGTAGCATTTTCGAATTGCTGCCGTCAGGCGATTATAGTATCTGGGTAGACGGGACACCAAACTCTGTTTATCACAAATCGTACGGTTACAGTCGTGTAGGTGGCACATTTATGAATTGATGGCTGACAATATTAGCTGCTATGGACAGACAGTACGTACCACTGGAGTTTCGGAATGAGGTGGGAAATCACTGAGTATACGAACGGTCACTAGCTTGGAAGTAGTTCGCCGTGTGTTGTACAAGTATCTATTAAAACTATAGGCGCATTAGAGCAAAACAGAACTAGTCCTCTTCACCTATACAGACGAAAAGAAGCCAGTGCCAACGGAAAGCTAGAGATCGCCAATGCCTGAGCAGAAAGGACCGTCTCTTCCAATACTAGGACCCCCCTTCCCCAAATTGCTGAATTTCAGCTGGCGCGGCCGTGCTAGCTCGAAGCCGTCATCCAGCTTGTTGTGCACAATAACCATACCTCTTCGTCTTCCTGCAGTTCATGGTTCCAGAAAAATGCGATCGTCAACAAGAGGAACTAGAACTGAGAGGGGTTACTGATGGTATAGAGTGAAGTATCATCTCATAAGACAAATGACGATCCTCTCGTCAATGATCATCGGTCTGATAACAATTCTAGGACGAAAACCCATCAAACGAAGCGTAGGTGGACAAGGCCAGTCGGCGGATAGGTGACTCGTCAACGGTAACCAAAGGCGAAAGAGAGCGCCGCTCACTAGGGGTTGGAAGGCGACCGTTTTCATATGCTTCAACAACGGAGTATATACCAAAATAATATTAGTGGGAATGAGTAAGTTAAAGGTATCTAGTACGACTCGAACTCACCAGTATTACTCAAGCCATGCCACACATCAAGCTCAATGGCATATTTGTGCGAAGTGGCGGCAATGCCTGGAGGGTATTCAAGCTGTGCCAGTGCCACCCCCGCATCTTCATGGTTGGATGTGTTGAGATCTGCGTTCTGTTAAATATTGTAGCCCTCAGGTAACCTATCGTACAAGCTGAACTTACTTATGTCTTCCCTTGCGTTGAACATGCTCTGAAGAGAGTCCCAAGATGGTCCCTAACTTGGCACGAACGTGAGTTGAAAGGATTAGCGTCGGTGGAGGTGCGACTCTGATCATGAGCGCAACGGAACAAGGGTCCCCGTTACAGCTTGTATCATTGGACTCCGACCGCGGCTATCAAGTACAGTTCTGAGACGACGCCAGTCCTACTCGGTATCCGGGCCGGTCCGAGTCCAATCGTACAGATTCGGGGTCACACCCTTCAAAACAATCCTTGCAAGGTGTAAAAATTTCACACGGGAACGCGCAAGTCATCCTCCGCTGGCGAACGGAGCTCCAAGGACCGCAAGGTGTCGATGTACATGGAGCGGATTCTCATGCTCCAGAAAGAGGGTAGGAAGTGTTCCTACCCTCGTTTCCATTCGCGAATGCTCAATGAAGTCAATTTGATCATTGACGGGAGTAGAGGACCGAAATGATAAGCAAGTAGTGGTCTCGTGAATCTGCATGTTGGTGTGATACACGATAGGAGGTTTGGAGAAGCATTGGTTATGTCGACGAATCGCGCAACCATGTTATGCTTGTGTCCGATATAGATAGTGCGAAAGCGGTCCTTTTCCGCGTTCGGGGGGGTAGAAAAAGCGGCAGCCTGAGGTTGATGAAGGGGAGACGAAGGTATATTACTTCTGTCATTCGAAAGATTTCCAGAGGTATACGAGATATCAAAGCCTAAAAATTTTTCAGTTTCATGAAATCGAGATAGTAGAGGTCAATTGCGACTTATGGTGAGCCCCCCAAGGCGACGCAAGTTTCCCGGACAGGGTCGAAGTCTGCCATACTCTTTGATCAGCATTCGGTCGACCTTGCCCGACTGTCCGGCAAGTCAGCCAAACGCGAGTGGATTATGCGGACGCGCTGAGTTAAAATCATTGGTTCGAGTTCTGGAGATGGCCGTAGGATCTTATTAGTGAGCCCTTCGAACAGCGCACAACTTTCGTAGGGTAGACACAGATTGACGGAGAGACGATACCAATCTCCGGAATCAACGCGTACCTAAGGAACAACTTTAATATCACGATGTGTTCCCCCGATTTCTGTGGCATGGAAGATGTCGGTATTATACTCTTTGGCCGATTGTGTGAGGTCCACAAGGCCAGACGATGGCAATGACGAAACCTACTTCTGATAAGGTCTGCCTCCATCAGCACGGTTGTATTCATCGGTGAACATGTGAGGTCATCGTAAGGTAGAATGTGCCTCGTATGGTTGCTTTGAACGGCTTTAGAGATGATATGCTCTGAGATCTTTTACATAAATCTGTGAAGACGAGAGCGCAGGGGGAGAGATCGCTACGTCGGCCAACGGAGATGCGAGCGTCGCGCGCTTATGTTGACCGGAGAAGGAACAGGAACTCGGGAGAAAGCGAAGCTCGGAGATGTACACCGCTTAGGGCGTTGCCGGGGGAGTTGAAGCGGTGGGAGGCGGGAAGAATGGTTCGAGTACACGCATGTGTGACTCGAACGTGGGGGAAAGTCGTTAACTTTCTATGAGAGAAGAGCGATGCGAGCACATTGTGCACATGCAAATCGTTATCGCAATTTGACTGCAAGCGAAAGATCGTCGTGAACGAGACTGAGGCCCCTAGAAGAAGAACGCCACAGAACGACGTTTCAAAGTCCGGGTCCGAGGGTGGCGTTCAACAGACAAATTAAGGTCTCGTATGGTTGATGGTGTCACGATTTTTTCAATCGTGGACTGAGAGTTGGACAGTCAAGGCTTTTTTAGGCGCTAGAAGCAGATGCGGCAGTTATACGCTTCCTCGGTCTGTGTGTGGAATTGGTCTAGGATCTAAGGTTTGAGTAGAAGAAGAGCAACTTGAAGAAGCCACGATGCGTACTTGCCTGTGGATCTGGTCTTGCGACTAGAGGAAGCCGCGGCGATTAACGATATATTGTTCGAGTGGGCGGCGTTCTATCATTGTTGTACATGGACATTCGTGAGAGGGTGTAGCAGCCTGCACCAGTACGAACATAAATTCAGGCCACGCTTTGACAGAACGCGGGAATTTACCTTGACGTCGTGGTACAGCGCTCTATTCTTGATGAATTTTCCCGTTGATTCCACCCTTGGCTGGAGGTTCGGACGTTCCCGGCCCGGCAACCCGAGTAACCTTCACACGCATGTCGGTTGATCGGTACACCGTGCATCATGTCAAGTTCTCTCAGCATTTTCTTCTGAACTCTGGTATTTGTTGAACCGGCTGAAACATTGGCATGTTACCTGTGGGCGTGTCATGGCCGCCGCTGATGCGCCCTGCCCCTGCAGCTCTTCCTGTATCCTGCGACAACGCGTTCCAACGCCAAGCGAAGAGAATGTGCCAGGCGAGAAGAATTCGAGCCTCCCGATGTTTTCGGAGTTCTGGAGATTCAGAAGTGCCTCGACGCGTGGGTAGGAGCGAGATCCCGGAAATCGCGAGTTCAGCATGTGAACGTATCACGTATCAGTCAGATTGAGTAATGCCGCTAAATCTCAGCAGGGGGACTGAGGACGTTTTGTTGTCAGGGTTCGAAGGGAAGGGCACTTAACTCATAGTGCATTCGTCTGTCGAAGAGACGTGGTTTATTTATCACCGTTTGGGCCGACATGATCGTGTAATGGAAGAGGTATCGTCTGCCGTACGGTATATTAGTCGAATTCCTTTGGAGGTTTGATAAAGCACTGCGCTGCAAATCATTAATTTGTCGTAAATAATTGAGGCGCGCTTACTTATTTGGAGATCTGCAGTGATTAAGGATCTGGACGGCGGCCTGGGATGAATCCAGGTGACGATCCCGCCTAGCGGGCAAAGGCCCGTTTCTACGGGGAACTTGGTTGTTGTTAAGAAGAGGAAGATGAGAGCAGGAAGATGTAACGGAGCATGGAGTGAAATCATTGTTGCTATAGTGACGTCGTAGGGATGAAGGCGCTTTGCGAATGTAAGAGAATAAGATGTGGGCTGATATATTTTGGTAGATGGCGCATCTCGTGTTATGTACCTGTCGCGGGATATGACGGCATTTTCGACTTGATATTATTCTGGAACGGTGAGTTCATGGAAAACAATTTCGGTTTGGGATATTACTTACCGTGCTGCATAGAATAGCTGGCCTCCGAAAGACGTGGATAATGATCCAAAACTAGACATGTATGACTGACCTTTACATCGTATACCCGCTTGAACGCCGTAGTAATGGGAGAATAGCGATGGAAGTTTCTAAAATCACGTATATGTTCGATTATCTTTAGAGATCTTCCGGAACCTGAATCTGGGCAGGAATTGAATAAGGTGTTAGAGCCCCGAAATGAAAGTCACAGTTGGAGCTACGTGAAATGAAAGTGAATTGTTGGAGTTTTACTAGGGGGCATGAATTGATGTATGGAAGTGAAGGAAGCATCCCAACAGTACCCGCTCTGTAAAGGATCACCGGGATACAGAGACGTAATTCCACTTAATTTCCGGTGTAGATGGTCGCCCTCCAGATACTCTGGACCCGGAGACGGACGGGGGGGGGGATCAATAGATATCAAGGTAACAAAACAGCACATATCGTGAGACAGTTCCGAATGAATTTGCCGTACTTATTTTAATGCAATACAAGTAACCGTGGCATTACTCGAAATTGAATGAAGGGGTAAATGATCGTTGCCGAAAGAGGGGGGCGAGAAGCGATGGAACAGAGACAGGCCCAACGGGGGACACTATAGAAACGTAGGACGCGGCGGAAGATTGCATCATGCCAAGTTGTCGAACCAACCCCAAGGAATTATTGCATCATGGATTGCGCCGAATCGCTGATAACGGATTCCACCGGTGGTTAAGCATTTATGTCTCTGTATTGCATTATGTTGAGGAAACGATAGATATTTGCATTACGAATACGAATTACGGTCGCGAATGATTGAAGGGGGGGGAGGAAGGAAGGAAGAGGTCCAGACCTGAGTGGCGTGCAAGGACATTAAAATATGCTGCGGAGAGCGGACCTCCTGAAACAGTATATTATTCCCAGCCCTCAAAATCACGTAACCTCCATGCTTTCGAAGACCATCTTGGGCGGTTGCAATGACCTTGTGCTGTCCTTTTTCTTTTCTTCACTACCTTCACGTCAGCCGTTCTTTTCCGTCCCTCCTTTCAATAACGACGAATGGTTGGTTTCCTCCGCAAAAAGTCAACAAATAAGCAGGCCCAGCCATCACCGACTCCCTCAGGCCCGATTTCTATAGGCGGGCCGACACCTTTGTATGCGAAATTTGCTTCTGTGACGACGAATGGAAAGAGAACGGGCTCGGAGGGAAAGCGGAAGCAAACGACGAATTCACGAGAGGAACGAGATTCAGCGACCTCTTTGCTGCCGATACAACCTGTACCTTCGTCTTCTGGCGACCACGCTCCCATACCTGCAGGCGTGTTCTCTTCGTCACCGCAGGTGTCGGCGCCACCAACGAATCGCCGGTTGAGTCGGGGGGGAGCTGGAGGCGGAGGAGGGGCTCCTAGACTGGAGACGCTGATCCCGAGCGAGGCCCTGTTCTCCACACCCAAAGCTCTTACCCGTTCTACGGCCGACAATCAAGATGGGAGCGGAGAGTCAGGACGTCAGCACCAGGTGCCAGGTTCCTTGCAAGCTGCGAAAGGCATCACACACGAGGTGGGTATTACACTTCGCTCGATTCTCCGGGGCTTGGACCACCTGGTATCCTCCGTGATCAGCATCTTCCGATTCGATTGGCATTACTAGTACCATTCCGCTCTTCTTCCCATCAATCTCACCGCCTTCTCACCGATTGATTGCTCACTTTTCCTTGCTTTTTAGCTTGCTAGTGACCCTGTTCCACCGTCTGTACTTCACCGATCAGTTCGTATTTTGATCTTGCTTCTTTACTAAATTTTCTAATGCTTGAAATAATATAAAGGTATCCAGTAATGAACCTAAACCTTTGCTCGACGAGACCTCACCCCCACTTCCTGAAAAGCCAACTCACTACGCTGCACCGGTCTCGTACGCAATGAATGGCGCGTATCCCATGCCTGTCAAGAAATCGCCACACCCTGCCGCCCCTGCACCCGTCGCGTCGAGAAAGGGTCCACTGATCTTTGCTGCTATGGTACAGCCGGAGGATTCTTACCCCTCTCCGCCGGCAGATTCTTCTCTGGATCCGGTACCTCGATTCATCACGAGAGGGCCAGTTTCCGTCGCGGTGAGTGTTTCGCAGTTTAAGAGACATGCCTCTCATGTTTTATCACAGCCAAAACCGACTTTTCGCGAGACAGTACCTCAGTTCATGCCACCGTCAAAAGCTCAGTCTGGCCGGACCCAGACGCCCACAACCAATCACTCACCATCTCTTCCTGCCCACTCTACGTCCCGAATGTTGCCCCACTCTCCTCCTCAGACGCCACCACAACATATACCCCAACAATTTGGATCACCGCCGCCATCTCAGTATGGATCCTCATCACACCAGGTGCCTCAATCTCGTCCCGATACTCGCCCTGTGCCTGTCGAACCTCCGACCCCTCAGTCTGTCCATCGACAAAACGTGAACCACGCTGCGCCACCCGTAGCGTACCACCACCAGCCCAACAGTATGGCTCGTTCGTCGTCTAATGGGAGGCCAAACGGCAGCGTCAATGGACATGGTATAGGTGTCAGTCGAGCTCCTTCGCAGATTCATCCGAACGGGAACGTTGATGTCAATCGCGCCCTATCGAATGCACGCCAGCTTCCTAAGTCACAGCCGCCAAATTTGTACCCGAATGGGGCCGCACGTCCTTCGACCTCGAATGGTGTCGTTCGGATGCCTTCTCTAACGAACATGAACGCGACTTCTGGTGTCAATGGACGCCAAGCTTACCCTTACCCGAACGGGATCATTCGTTCTCCTTCCCAGACTCATCTTCCGAACAGTGTTACATCACGTACTGCTGCTGTCCTTCGCTCGCCATCTCAAACACAAGTTCATATCATTCCTTCGACACCTTCTCGGGCAGCTCCCTCCCGTTCGCCCTCTGATGCCTCAGTCTCGCATTCAACGAGAAGATTGATGAAAAGGTACCACCATCAGCAACCGTCTGCGACTCCAGCGCACGATGACGTACCGTACTTCGCCGATGATCCATTCGCAAAGGTTGAAGGTGTGAAAGTCTTGCCAGCAAGTTCGGTTACTCACGGCTCTGGAGAGGACGTAGCGAGAGAAAGGATGTCCTCGAGGGAAGGCAGTTCGAGAGGAGTCTCTCTTGTCGTGCATTCCCGAGAAGGTTCCCGAGAAGAAGAGAAGGCAAAAGCGAAGGTGGAAGAAGAGGAAGACGTCGATGGAGATGGAGTAGCTGTTCCCAGGGAAAACGTGCTCGTCAGGTCGATTACACCAGAGAAGAGGAGGGTAAAGACCCCATCACCGCCTCCGCCCCTAATGAAAAGATCTGTTACACCACCGCAAAAGCCTCTTACTCCGCCGCCGCCTCCTGCAGAGGAACGACCAGCAACCCCGCCTCCCCCTGTCACACCTCGTTCTCGCTCTCGTCATTATGCAGGCGCTTCGCCTCCTCCTGATTCTCTCGTTGCGAACGTCAAGGTGAACGAGGACCAGCCTTTCCCACTGCACACGTTCTTAGCTGATCCTGCACTGCTGAGGAACCTTCTGGGATATCTCGGTTGGTGGGAGTGGTGTGTACTTGGGATGGTCAGTCAACGAGTGAGGAACGTGTTGTTTGAATCTGGTCCTGAAGGAGATGAGAGACGGGAGGAAGTCCTCGAGCGGTTCCTTGGAGGCGTGGGGTATCGTAGGTGGGCATGGCCAGATGACCCAGAGCCCGTGAGGTTGACCGTCAATGTGAGTAACAGATTATCAGAGTTTGCCGTTCGTTTCTGATCTTGAGTTAGGCCCTCCATGCCTATATGCACGGGGTGTCGTTACCTACACATGAATACGCGCGCATCGCAGTACGGTACGTACGCGAGATGATGCTCCTTCCCAGCGAGAGAGACCCGGAGTTAGGGCGACTCGTGAAAGCTCTGGAGCGAGCGACGAGGGCGTTTACCTCTGTGGTGTTGCGGCTTCGGGCACAGGCAGAGAAAGAGGCGACAATGACGAGCCCGATGAACAACAGGCCACCTTCACCGACGTTCAGCACCTGGTCCCATGCGCAGTCCCACGCAGGGCACGTTGCTCCCACTCCCAGTAATGTCTTCCGATCTCCTCTCGTTAAGCTCCGTCGTGCGCCTCTCCTCCGATGCTTCGTTCCTTCTCCTGATGGGGACTGGCTGAGTGATACAAGTGTGCTGCGATGCGAGGCAGAAATGGACAAGGCTGGCGTGAGAGGTCTCCTGCGCGCCGGGGACGTTGTATGGGATGTCGCTGTGGGAGACGAGGCGAATCTCGGGAGGATGGTGTGGGATGGGAGGTACCTCATTGATCTGGATTATACCTACAGCCTTACAGGTGATTTGCCGAGATACTTGATGGCGCTAGCTTTTCCACCGAGTTATTTTCATCGCGTAGTAAGGGGTGGGAACAATGGTTCTGGTGGTGGGCCGGTTATTCGCGTGGATTTAAGGCCATGGGGAGAGGAGATCCGGGGGAATATGCAGCTCTTGCAAGATAGAGTGCGGACGGAGACGTAAGTGCCATTCGTATTACTATTTTCTTCTTTGTTGAAGCCTGTAAAGCCCCCAGGGAACGTACCATAATGTTGTCCGGTGGGTCCACCGTTCGTCTTTCCAGCTTCGAGCACGACGCGGAACACGTATACCCATCCCTGAGTCGAACGGCTTGTTTGTCGATCCTGGTTGGTATGGCACGGTCGTGGTGGAGACTGAGGGAACGAACGAGAGCTTGCGCGATCTTCAAGAAAGGCTTGGGATAGGCCGGGGGATCCAGAGTGCGAGTATGAGAGCAAAAGGCGCTGATTCGAGTTGGAGAGACGATAAGATGGTTTTCAGGATTTTGAGAGAGAGGAGCCGGCCTGGAGAGATATGGATTAGGGCCGTTGGGGTGAAAGAGAGGGTTAATTGATGTTTTTCTTTTTTTTTGTTTTTGATGTTTGTGATTGCCGAACTTGTTGTACTGATATTGATCATTAATGTACGTAGGATAGACCTCAATTGCAAGACAATTACCAATATCGCGATTAGTGCAATTGCAAATTTGCTGTAATTCACATGACCGCGATAGTTCTAAAGAGAAACGGATGGAAATTAAGCCTCCTGACTCTGTTATCTCTCTGAGCACCTCTGTTGGAGCTTGCCACATTGCAGGAATTAAAGTTACTCCAGTAGTTTCAAAGACCATCTGAGGTAAGTATGGATTGAGTCATATTAACAAACTTGTTTCTTGCTCTAAAAATATTTTGAAATACTGTAGCCTGACTTCTCCAATATGCATGGGAGATTCAAATTCTCTGGTCAGGCTGTGGTCATTGTCCAGGGTTCTTGGTATCTCTTTGATTGTGGGATTGGTTGGTGTTTGGATTTCACTTTTCCAGCAAGTCTCAAGGATGTTTTCTTTCACCATTATTAATGAGATGAAATTCAGATTTCCTGAGTGCAGCTCAAGTGAATCACATTTATAATTACATAGCCTGCCAAAACACAGGCAATACCATTAAAAAGCAAGTATAGCTAGAAAGTATTCTAACCCATCCTCTGAAAACACCCTGACCTCCTGCTAGTCATGCAAAATTTGATAAATAACTTCTCTCATCCACTGGCATAAATATACTTTTGTGTGCACAGGCAGTATGGATAGCAAGACAGTTTGAGTTGGGCATGGATTGATTGTAGTCAAAGTGATTCTGCGTCTGTCCCTAAAAGCGGAGCTGGAAATCTCCTCCGGATTCCTGAACATATTGACTGCCCTGCTTAGTTTTCAGATGAGCCAATACCTATATGGGATGGGGATGGTACAGGGGAGTTGGAGCCTAGTCACTCAAAACATAGTGTGAAGGAGACATCCAGTATCCTGAGCATAATTTCCCCATGGATGCCCCTGTCCTGCCTTTGGGGAATGTCTTCTCCGAGTTGCTAGTAGTGATGGTTCCCCTTGTTGAAGACAACTGATAATAACCTTGATTTGACTCATATGCACGAGAAGCCGAAGTCTGAGGTATTATAACCATACTTACCGACTTCGTTCTGGTCTCGAAATCTCGTATCGCCAGGACGTTCAGGATCTACAATGACTCTCCTCACTCTATAGTATAGGCGCGGAAGCTATCACCAAGTTGAACGACTCGTATTCCGGCCGTTGCCCTTTGCCAAAGAGTATTTGCCTGCAGATTTATGACCGTCAAAGACAGAAAAACGACACTTGGAATTCGTATATTTCACAAATCGCTACAAAAGAGAGGGAGGCGCTCGATCTTGTCGAACGTCCGGCAGAGGAGTGACAAGTCAACTTCATCAGTGCTGGTACTAGGTTCCTAGCTTCCGGTGACCCCTCATCGTTCGCCAATTTTTCGAGCCTCTGATAATGATATGTTATATTCAGGTGGTGGCACTCAGTAGAAGTTGTCTCGTTGGACTCGCTCCGTCGTTGGTTTCGTTTGACAAAGTAATTCATCGCTAGACAAACAGAGAACTGTACGCTTGGTAAATTTCTTAGATGAAGGTACTCTTCCACACGAAGTGATGCTCACCCAATACTGTGATAGGATTAACAGGAAAGCTTTGGGACAAAGGTAGCGGCATGGGCATAGAACAAGAAACTTCGGAACCTGAGATGGACCTGGTCAAACAGGTTTGGTGATTCACTGACGGAGAGAAGAAGAAACACATCAAATGGCGTCATGTCCCGAGGTGCACGCATCTTTCTCACGTTTTTAGAGATCGTCATGATGCGTCTCCAGGGAGATTTCACGAAACCACCGGAGAAGAGATTCAACTACAAGAACTGCATCGATGCACTATTTAGGGGAAAACTGCTCGTAATCTCTCGTCCATGACAACTTATCAGATTCTGTTAGATGGTCCGTGAAGAGGGTGTTTCCGCTCTTGGTCGTGAAGTGGGACCCAACGTATTCCGTTCCGTTCTAATGAACGCAAGTCAGCTTGCTTCATACGGGTATACCTTTGCTCGCGCCACACAGTCTTTAAACATGTCATCAGATATGATTTCTTCAAGGCTGAGCTCTTGAAGACTCCGTATTCCACGACAACATTCTTTGCCATTTCACGGCGAGCTTTGCTGCTGTTCGTAGACCCTTACCTTGTGCGTTCCGTATGCTAAGCCTATGTAGGGTACCGTTGCGACGACGGTCTGCTCTCCCGCTGATGTATTAAAGGTTTGTACTCTTTTCGATTCACGCAACGGGGCCTGACAGGACACATCGTTAGAGTCGCATCATGAATGCATCAGGACCAGGATCGAATGTGAGCTTTTCGATCTTCTTGTTCTGGCTGATCTGATTCTCTGTGTTTAGTCTACTCTTGGTGTCATCAAGGCTTCCTTGAAGAACGAGGGTCCAATGTTCATGTTTAAGGGCTGGTTGCCAGCTTGGACTCGTCTGCAACCGACGACGATCCTCATATTCTTAATATTGGAACAGTTGAAGAATGGGGTTGACTTCTCGAGAAGCAAGGGGTATACGTTCTTGTGAGGTTCGATAGATGTGAAGTATGCTACTAATATTAGCGATGTATACCAGAGTGGACATGAATCTTGTGAATTTCGATCAATCAAATGTCAAACTCTCAGATGTCTGGGGCGCATTTTATCACATGAAACTTTTGTCTCTCATGGTATTTAAAAAGAGAGGGACCTCAAAGCCCCTGCCCTGAACTTTGTCCATGACCACCATGACTACCTCACAATCTACCCTACAACCTACAGTTTGGACACCTAGATTACCGCCAGAACTCACGGATCAAATAATTGATGCTCTTTCCGATGACGTTTTCTCTCTCACAGCTTGCGCATTATCCTGTCGCCAACTTGTCGGCCGCAGCCGTTATCATCTATTCCGTGCCATATGCTTCGATTTCATCCCACATCGGTGGTTCAATCACTGCGAAAATTTCTTGGAGAAGTGCCAAAATGCCCTGCCACTTGTAAGGAGTCTTACCTTGAGCGAAAATGCCGTCTGGTTCCTAGGCTCCTCTCAAAGATGGATCGCCTCCGAACCGCAGCTGCCTACTGTCTTTGCAATGATGAAGAACTTGACGTCCTTACATCTTGTCCAGGTGAGACTGGTTGGCATTAATATCATCTGGCCTGAAGTCGAGGAATTGGAAATGAAGCATTGTTCTGTGACGAACCTTGGCACCTTCCTCGGGGGGTTCCACAAATTAAACAAGCTAGCACTATGCGACGTATACGTTGTTGAAGAGAAATCTTCATCGTCTGAAGTTTCTCTTGACCTTGAAGAATTAGTGATTACCCAAGCCGCCAGCCAGTTGGACGTGCGTACTATCAAGTGCCTCCTCCCGCTCCTCTCCACGCCATCCCGTATTCGACGGCTTACCTACCCACTTTACTATCCGGTGTGGAACATCCCACAATACGACGTGATTCCTTATACGCACCTGGATGAGTTGTTTCTAGTGGGAGCCTCCGATCCAAGGAAACCTGTTCCGGATATCCAAAATGTTACTAGGCTTCGTTTGCTTGTGATCACCCCCTGGCACTGGAATCTGGCGGATAAAGGCAAACACTACGACGAGCTGACAGATTGGCTCATACACCTGCTACACAAAGCCCAAGGGGGGTGCTTAAAGGAGGTCGAATTGGAGTATGACCTGATTGGCATATCTGGGAGTCCGCACAAGTGGGCAGAGCTCGATGCAGTTCTATCGAAGATGGAATTGACCAAGGTTGAGCTCGTGTTAAGCGCAGCCCCGCACGAGTGGTGGAGAGAAGAAGAAGAAGAGAAATCCAAGTGGCCGTTGTGGGAAGGCAAGCTGGAGGGATTGGTGATCAAATATGCTGCGTACTTTGAACAAGTTGAAAGCCGTGGGTTGTTGACAGTCTCCAGAGGATACCGGAGTTAAGTTTGTATGTTTGCTACTATCCAGATACTACTATTGCATTTTGGCTATTTCGTTTTGGACACCACTCTTTCGTTTTGTACACCACTTTTTCATTTTGGACATTGAATCAGTATGAAGGATACAAATAATACAACTTGTGTCTTTCATTATCATGAATCAGAACATATATATCAGTGAATATGCTGAAAGGTTATGAGTCACAGCTGCAGGTTTCAACCGCCTTTCATGATCTAGGATCGCAACAAGACTAAACCAACAGCGACCACATAGCAGTCCTTGTCTTCGATTCGACGAAAACACATCACCATTTGAAGGCGTCGAAGTTTGTGTTTGCTGCAATCTGCGGCACTCCAAGCGAATCACGAATCCTGAAGTCAGGATGAATAGAAGAAGAAGCCTCTTCAGCGACCAGTCGACATGGATGGGGGACGTGGTTAATGATGGAACGAGATGGGCGACACAGCTGTCTTCGAGAGCGTATTATGTATATAAACAGAACAATAGGCTGTTGTTTTTCTAGGATGAGAGTACATGTTGCCAAGACAAAGAATGAACAAGGTAACGCTAACAACTGCAATGGCCACGGAATATTCTCGTAGAGGCTAGTCCCACCAGGACGATGCTATCGCCAGCGTCGTTTTCAGTGATAATTAAGTCTGATTCCGAAGGTAGTACCTGACGCGGCTTACCATGCCGTGCTCTAGACTGAACGCGGCAATCACCGTAGCCTTCGGCAATTATTTTCTGTTTGTACTTTACCTTCGTTGACCATAGCGCTCACGTTGCACAAGTAAGAATTTCACCAGATGTAATGGTTCGATTTTGATTCATATCTGATAGGAGTACCCATCCAATACAGAGAAAATGTGGCGAAACGACGCCTCTAGTCGACAACGCTCCGTAAGTTGATCTATGGTAGTTGTTGACTTCAATGCTGACTGAAATCTTTAGGTCTCTATACCCTGCATCCCACCGGAGATCATTGAAGAAATTATTGACTATTTGTGGAATGACACTCGTACTCTCATTTCCTGCTCATCAGTCTGCCGTGTCTTCTACCCGCGGACGCGGATGCACCTGTTTCGCACCATTGATATTCGAAACAGAATCAATATCGCCACGCGATTCGTCGAGATGACCAAAGCTTCCCCGAACCTACTATCATGTGTCAGGGACACAAGAATCCGTGGCACCACCGTGCATTTAATCCTGGCCCCTGTACTTCCCTTGATGGCCAATTTGACTTCACTGAAAATACAATTCATCAAACTCGCGAAAATATGCGACCTTCACGCTCACGTTTTCCAGCTGTTGGCGCTCAAGGAGTTCTCTCTGGATGCTTTCTACTACGATCAAGAAGGCCCGCCTTTCAGTCCGCTTCTTCCTACGCGTCGCGGACCGGCCCTTGAGAGAATGGTCATCGAGGTCGACGGGAATCTGCATTTGCTTCCGTCCTTCTTTCACGCGGGACTGCGGTCGGTATACGTCGACACGTTGCAGTACCTCGAGGTAGACAAACCGTCAGAGAAGGATTTGCACGTTCTATCCAAACTCACACGCATTGCAGGCTCGCTGAAGCATTTGCGACTGTTAGAGATCCAGTGGGATGGTACGTGCACGTTTCTCCCTTGGTTGGTTTGGCTTTATGAACACTTACACGAGTCCCACTGCCTACAGTACGTCATTGGCCCAATCCTCCTGCGCTTGCTTTAACCGGCTTAGAGTCGTTGTCTATGGAAATATGGTATAAGGACGACCTCGCGAGGATCGACTTGTGCATTTTGAGATGGCTCATCGGTTCGCTCTCCTCCATGGACAAAGCTTCGTCGCTCCAGTCTCTCGAGCTGAAGCTCAAATGCTGGGAAGACAGTGAGCTCCGGGAAGTGGACGAAATGTGGCTATTGTGGATGCGGTTGGACGATGTTTTAAGCCGCCCCGATCTTTCGCGGTTGTGTGAGCTGAGGGTCAAGATATCGGGTGAGGAAACCACGAAAGAAGGGCTCCTCCACGCTCAGGCGTTGACGGATAGTAGGTTTCCGTTGGCCCTGGAAAGAGGCATTCTCGTGGTTTGCACGGATGACGAAGATTAATATTGGTTTTGTTCTGCTCTGTAGTGGGGTGATCTGAATGCTTCGTTTCGCATCTCGAAGAGCCATTTTTTCCCTCGTGCATCCACCCTCGCCAGGCATAGCGCAAGTATCGCTGTCTGCACAGCAGCAAACCTAATTTTTTAAAATTTGCATCAGCGTGAAGGTCCTATCAAACTCAATCCGCCCCAAGTTGGCTACGATGATGCCGCGCCATGTCTGGTATACATCCAATCACTTTGCTTCTTTCGTACTCGATGAATCCCTTTTTCGTAGAACACTCTCCGGATGAGTCACAAATGCCAATGAATATAAGAATCAAAAGCACCTATGCTCTGACAAGGGTACGTAACCTGCTAGCCGTCAAACTAGTGGGTTAATGACGACCAAATGAAGGCTTAAAAGTCTAAGTAGCTGCTGCGGCATGTATCCCATGACTGTCCGGCTCGATGATCCTGTCCTCTCGAACTACTCTGAGCCAGGACCTAGGCTCGCCAAGTCCACCGCTAAGTCTAAGCGAGTTCGGGCTAGAGAAACTGAGCGCGAGTCGCCGGATCAATCAATCGGCTGAGTTTAGCGGCAACAGCCGCAGTCTTTGACCCTTTTACACCATTTAAATAATTCCTCCTCGCTATCTACTACGATGGACCTGCAGTTTGTTGGTACTGCACCGATCTTCTTAATCATGCGGTCAAGTCTAGCGGAACCGGGCTGTTTCTCGAGGTGCTTCTGATTCTGACCTCTTTACACCACTGTTGGACCGACTGTCGCGGAATGATAGAGAGGCTAAGGTCGGGTTCAGGAATGGGGTGCGGATCTCTGAAGTTATGCCGCCCGGGAGAGAGGAAGATACTTAGGCTTAAGGGAAGTTGATGTACTTCTCCGTGAGTAGCGGCTTCTTGTCTTCTCTGTGCCTACGCTGTTACACGTTGCAGCGCGACCAACATACTCTTGTCAGGTCAAGAATTGATTGTTACTTTCAAAGTCGCGAAAGCGATCAACGAAATTCAAGTTTCTCGCAAATTAACGAACTTTTTTGTGGCGGAAATACACATTCGCTCGGAAGGGAAAGTTGAAGCATTGTCCGTCAAGGACGATATTGGTGTCGCACTGCTGTACGTGGAACCCCGACTTTCGCATGTTTCACACTGAAGGATGTGCCTGCTAGACTTCCGGTGTGCTACATTGTTTGTGGAGCAGTGGGCTGAATATCACTGAGGCCGAGCTACGAACCCCGCCCGCGGTTCTCATCCCGAGGAGAATTATATCCCGGACGAGTCGATCCAACGACAGTTTGTCCGTTCAAAGCCATGGGGAATCTGAACAAATCAAAGGGGCCCGGACTGTTGACTCGAGAAGTACTTACATCAGTATGTCATAGGCAAGTCGCAACTCCATATCTATAACACGAATGACTGATCATTGATGTGACCCCCATTTTTACTGTAACAGCTTTTTTTTAAAACGTGTAATGTCAAGTTAAGAGCTCGACTACGATTTAATGGGGTCTTGACGTGGTTCGAATTCAAGTTCACACTCATATTCGTTTTTTTTTTCGAAAGTGACAGATGGGTAAGGTTGTTTTACTCTCCAAGTTGTCGCGTTGTTTTTGCTCATCTTGGTTATTCAAAAACGTCGGCACGATGATCCGAGCCTCCGAGCCTCAAGGCATTCACGAGTTGTACGGTAGCCATCTCTTTCTTCTCAACCAATAATAATCGGCGGCATGTAGGAACTGATATGAGTACATCTATTGTCCCGCCTTATATCCATATCAAGTAGAGGCGCGGCATCCCGGATACATTTCCTGATCCAAGCATTCGCTTCCAGGGGCATCCGAAGGAGCCTCGTTTGAATTATGGCAGTTTCGAACTGAGGCAGGCTGAGGCTCGTTTGTTAGACAATCGGCGGCCCTCGGGCCATATCTCTTCCGTGATCCGTGTTGCCAGCGTATGATGTCTAACTGTCTAATCACCTCTTCGCCATCGTTGCCTATGACGCATCGAGATGAACAATAACTTGTGCGCGGTCTCGGATATTAATTGATTTTTGCTTCCATTCGAGCAAGTCGGTTCCGCGCCGTCCAGATGCTGATTGTCAAGTGCAGACTTGATTTTTTTTTCCCTTGTGGATTGAGAGGTTTGTAGGTCAGTGTAAGGTCTGTGGCTGACGGTTGTTACACTTGCTGACTTTGGCGCCTTTCATTGATATCAGGAGCTTTAAGGAACTGCTACGCCATTATTGCAAGCGCGAATAGGTATCGCTTTTTTATACCTTCGCTGCCTTTACACAAAGTCAATCTACAAGATTTGAATCTTTAACCTGCTTTCAAGTCTGGATTAGACCTCCAAAGATGAAGGAAGTAGAAAAGGAGAGGTATAGGTCCTTCCCTCCCTTTTCGCACCCCGTTCCCTCTTCCAGTAGCTTCCAGTTCTTTGTTCAAGCCGAAATTAAGGACGATAGCCCTTAAAAATTGCGCACTTTCAGGTTCAATCTAATAGAAAGGGTCGAACCCTAGAATGACCTGCGGATTTTTTTTTATCGTCGTAGAAGCAGAGAAGAATTCCACGGATGATCAGAAGATACACGCGTCTAAATACATTTTGCCGGTCCATATGACTTCATTCCCACAATTAGGGGTGCCGCTCTCTCTTCCCGACACCCACCTTCGCCGTCGACTCTTCGCCCATGGAAAACGGTATTGTCGCCGAACTGCAGGAGGGACAGCCTATTAACGTCCCAGAGCTCGAGGCGGGTGTCCTTTACGCGATTCTCACTTTCCGGGGCGACTATACTTCCTGGGATTGGTCCTTTTTCGTCCCAGACAGCATAGTAACGCCCATCGGCAAGTCGGGAGCGCTCTTCCATGTCGTCAACTACCCCGTGCAGGGCTCTACGGGTATTCTGGAGAGGTGGGCGTTCGAGATGGAGCCAAACAAGGACGTGAATGCCTGGCCGGAGATAGTCGCGATCGTTCGGCTAGGGGATCTGTCTGGGTTGGGCTGCTTCAAAGATGTCGTGCAGGAGCTCATCACGGCATTCTCTACAGTCGATATGGACGTTAACCCGATGGAAATGAGCACAAGAAAGTGGTTTCTGGATGCACTGTGGGTGCTCCATGACTGTGGGTTCGTCACTTGTGACGATGCCTGGCTCTTGGAGAGGGAGCTTAAGAAATATGCGTTCAGTTCCATGGATTTGTATTTGGAGGCTGGAGGTGGGTCAAATCTGGTCATCTCAGGCATGCCATTATCATGATACGCCCTTCGTTTAGCTTGCAAGCTGTTCAAATCCGAGCATTGCTCGTAGGAACACACGTAAAATTAGGTTCGAACTGTGTATGGTTCAGTCCTTGGTGAACGGCCTGACCCGACCTTTTCAGAGCATTAACAAATGCTTGGAATCAACCCGGACTGGAGGTACAATTTGCCACGATCGCGTCCAACGAATGCTTCCCCACAACGTCCGTACGAGTTTGCGGTGCTATCGGGAACCCGCCAGGTCGCGGTCATGTGTCGCCTCTTTTATATAGTGTCCACGTCCGGAAATAAAATCGCTCAGGAACTAGCCGAGAAAGGGAGGGGAATCGAAAACACGAGATCCGTAGTACCTACTGCTGAACGTTTTTCTACTGATTGGGTAATTCATTCGTAGATTTTCATATCTTGTGTCTCATACTTGCGGATGTACAACGGGGAATTAGCTGTTCTGATCTCTATGACTAGGTTCGTCCTGAATGTGAATAATCCCATCTAACGACGCAATCGGCACTAGTTCAAAGATCGTAGACCTCTTGGTGTACTGATAAGTGCGACGAATGCCCTCATTGGAGGTAACGGGGATGCCTACTGGGGCATACAATCGTCTGATGAATCGCTCTGGATCCAACACTTCCTTGGGATAAGCGTTACTCGACTCATCCTCTATTCGAACTTCAGTTAATTGACGTACACCGCTTGGCAGCCGCGCCCGTCGATGTCGCCGCTACTGAGTATTATTGGTGAAGTTATATAAGCATTATACGCACCTTTACCAGTGCTAAACATGCTGCCAGTATGTTCGTTCCATAATTCGTATTACAGTAGCTTGTACCCTATGATAACCATTATCAAACTGACACGGTAGGTGGACATCTCAACAGCATGAATAGTGATTGAACGTATTCCAACCGACTTCCGGCAGGGGGCAACTTCCATCCTATTCTCTTTCACCTTTGTGTATGGATGCCTAAGAACATTCAGATAATTGTCCTTTTTTTTGAACTTGGTAAATTCTGTTTGGTTTGTTGTAACAGCCCGCTGTACGAGTGGATCTCCGAACGCGCTTCCAATGCTGCAATGTTGGGAAAGTTAAAAAGAGTTTTCTTAGGCCCACAAATCACTTCGTTACGAATAGGCAAATATCATTTAAGGAACATTTTGATTGTGCGTCAGAGATAGAAAGGAGATAGATCCCTATCATAAATTCCCCCCTAGCTGTGGTGACAAAGGGCTAACTATATATACTTGGATGGAGGACTACCCTGAATGACCCTGCAGCGAAACATTTGAAGCATTACTTCATCGCTTTGTTCGGACTCAGGGTAATTTCATTAAGCTACGTAGTATAATGTGCTACGGGAGTGATTTACCATCAATCCGTAATTACAGATGGTAACGAAAATGAAATGGATGAAGAAGTCGTACATCTTTAATTCAAGAACGGTGGCAACATTCGTCACGGTAAAGAAGACATAGGTAATATATGTACAGGTATTGTCGGCTCGAATTCAACATATCAATATAAGTATAAAGCTACGCACTACAAGGTGAAACTACTGAGGGGAGTAGCTGAGATCCATGGTTGAATCCAGCCTAGGTTCGAGGACAAACTCTCGGCGAACGTAGTTCGCGTCCTGGGTCATGTGAAGCTACAAGAAGGATGGATGAATCATCTGGGTTTGCGTACGACAGGACGGGAGTACGTACATATATTTCGCACATCACGCCATGCGTTAACATTGCATACCATAGCGCCATGCCTTGCGTTACACGGGTGGACGAGCCAAATCCTAAGGAGCCACCTCTGGCATCGGCAACGACAGCTACGTAGGTCTTCGAGATATCCACCCCGTCAGCGACGCAGGATGGATACTGTTGCGAGACGGTTGAAAGATCCGTTAGGACGGACAAAAGGTCGTCGCAACGGAAGATCTGTAAGAATCAAAGGGAGCCCAGATCAACGGGGGGTTCCCAAACTCGAAATGAAAAAGAAACATGATATGTACCGCGTGGTAATTACCGATGTCGGTCACGACGAGACGCGCGACTACGACTATAATGCGAGTGGTGATTGCACAGCTAAAAATGATGACGCCACCTGATATCATTAATTGAGTGTTAGAATATGATGCATAACAATTCTGAGATCCGGTAACGTACGAATCATCCAGCGACGGTGTTCTCGGGTGTTGCTTTTTACATTAAAGAGGCCAGCAGAAAAACAGAGGACGACAGCTATTCCCAGTGTGTAGTAAGCAGACTGTGCGTTTATCTCTCCTCCAAATGACCTATACCCAGCAATTCCACCGGAAACGTTTGCGGGAATCAAACAGAGGAGAACAAAGTATCCTAAGGAATGAGATTTAGTGCATCGAGGAAATGGAAGACAACCGATGGATTCACCGTTCATACGATGGAGCAGTATGGCCCTCTGCAACGAGTCAATGCGTTTAGGAACGCGAGGAACGGGAGACTTACACGCCGGATGGCAGGAATGAACTGAAGGAGGACGAATATACCACCAACTATGATCCATTAGCTAATCAATCGCCTTGGACTTGCTTTAAATCGAGCTTACTAACGGAGAGGAAAATATGCATCGAATAGGCGACTTTGAACCCATGCTTGCTGAACCCAAACCATTCACCTGGGTTACTCAATCGTAGGATACAGCGCGCACAATATCAGAACAAGAATAAGCCTACCGGGCACTGTCAATTTCTCCATCGTCTTCGGATTCATCATCGGAGCATGGTATAAGCAATATCCAAGAAGGGCACCTCCAAAGATGAAATCTGAGAGATATCGTTTAGTAGATGAAGAAAAAAAACATTGCATGCTTAGATGCTCGCGACGCACATAATAAAAGACTCTGCTGCTCCTTGAACCCTAGAATCCCACTAATGGTGCGGTAGGCAGCGCCGCCTGGTAAGTTTATCTGCTGCATCTGGGGCCGTGGTCTGAAGCGTCCAAACCACGAGTTTCGGGCGTAGAGAGGTCGCCCTTTGGTATATGGAACCTCGGTGTTGTAATCGTGCTGGGTCTGCGTCTCGGGCGTAGGCATGGAGGATAACAAAGGTCAGAGTCCGAGTCCAAGTCTCGACGAGCACTTTTGAGTGCGCGCCGCTCACGGGATAGACGCAGGAGAAATGGAAGCAAAATTTAATTTCGTCCGAGCGGGGGGGGAGGTACCTGGCAGTTTCGGTAGACAAGGGTGGCATCCGAGTTCGGGATCAGGACTCAGTTCGCACAGTCACCGTTGAAGTACAGTAGCTCCACTTATACACCGCAAGCTGGATTTTTGGACCATCAGAATATAACGGTGAAAGATCGGCTTGTGGGTTGCACAAATTGAGCAAAATTTCAAAATTAGTTTTATTCCGGGGGATAGGATACCCCGTTTAGAGAAACAGAACAGTTCAAGACAGAACCCAGCTTGACCGAATAGAGACATTGAAGCAGGGTAGTTTTTTCGGTCCTCTGGGTTGTTGCAGGAGAAAAAAAAAGGATACTACCGGCAATCACCTTGATCGCCGTCAAGAAAGTTTGGCCGTGGATCTGTCTGCTTTCAGGCCCCGACTTCACGTCTGTTATGTTACGCCGGCATAGCAACGGTGCCACCGAAATTCCCATCGAATTCTCTATCAGCGCAGCAGATCTAAACAACGCTTGGTACCGAACTAATTTTATTTCCAACGAACTGGTCTAACCAGTTCGTTATTCGCGGACTATCAACTTTGCACGCACGCAAACATGTTAACATCTATTACTATTAGTACTGTCTTGTTTACGCTTGCACTCGACTTTCGTCTTCCGCTATTGCCCCCCGGCCTGCACCTGGTATGGATTCTCCCTCTGCTTCCTCTTCTGTGCTTGGCGTCGGTACGGTTGATGGAGAGGAGCTCACGTATGACAAGGACTTGCGTTTGGGGGGCGGGAGAAATGGCAGCGTTTTCCAAGGAAGTCTCAACAAAACTGTTGTTGCAGTCAAAGTCCTCTCTTCAGAAGCGTCTTCTGACGTGCGTGCTATCTCCTCTATTTAAAACTTGGGATTAACCCATCTTCACTGTTAGGCTTTCTTCGACCGGGTTCATTCGTGGAGGAGTTTGAATCATGCTAATATCTGCGAGGTTTATCGCGTGTCCTCCAACGAGGACGACTCCCTCTATCTCGTTATGCAATGCCATGTCAACGGGAATAGTCGGCAATACTTGACAAGAAACCCCAATGTTGATCGCGGAAAAATTGTACCTTCATTTTCCGTTTTCTAGAAGGTCCCATACTTACGATATGTCAGATCCTCGAGACTGCCCTGGGCATGCAATATCTGCATTCGGTACGTGTCGTCACTTACGGCCCGAAAATCCCTCATTTTTGTATCGTTTCGTAGTGTGATGTCATTCATGGAGGTCTCAAGCCGACCAACATTCTCATCAGAGACAACGGAGAGGCATGTGTCTCTGACTGGGCTACGGTCGAGATACAGCCAAGCAGAAACAAGGAAGCGCACCGATATTTTAGTCCGGAAGCGTGGAAGGGAGTGAGTTTCTTACTATTTGTCTATTGTCGTGATGTAACGATAATCTTCAGACAGTGTCGCGACCTTCAGACGTGTTTTCGTTCGCGATGAGTGCATACGAGGTATATCTGACACGGTTATCTTATTGCTATAGTTCACCGACTTTGCCAGTTATATACCCTCTCCCAGCCGTGGGGCGTACTGTCCGAGAAACAGATATACCAGCTTGTCGTGGCAGAAGATGCCCGACCTGACCGTCCAGATCCAACCCGGGACGCCCGCGTGGGCCTGAACAACTATTTCTGGGATGTCATCGAAGAGTGCTGGCGAAAGGAGCCTCGCATGCGGCCAAGTTTCGACATTGTCGTGCGTTTATGGAGAAGCTATGGAACAGACACTCCCCAAGAAGTCTCTGCTTTCAATGCCAAGGCAATGCCTGCCGCTGGTAGGGGAAGGTCTATTTCTTTGAAGATGCAGCCGAACACTTCAGATCCAGTGATAGCCTCTCTGGCCGCCGAATTTGGCCAACTGTCTACTCGGTCGACTAGCTTAGGCCGGAGTTCGACGGTAGCATCGACACGCTCGTTCAAATCTGGACCACCAGCCTACGAGAAACCTCTGACAGCATCGCCAACATCGCCTCTATCGCCTTTGTCAAATTATACCCCTTTATCTTCGCAGATCTTTTCCCCGACGTTGTCGAGTAGCACAGATGCCTCCTCCCTGTCCACCCCAAGATCCCATCCCGTGGACGATCTACCACCTATCAGTCCAGTTTCCAGTACGCGATCATCACTTGTCATTCTATCTCCCGCGTCTAGACCAAAACCACTTTCAGACCCGTTACGGGTTAACTCGCTCTCAAATAGCTCGGGTGCGTGATATTTCGATGGATGAGTTAAAAAAAGTTTGACCTCTCGTTGTTTAGACTACTCGCGACACTGGGATCCTACGAGCACTTTAGCAAGATCCTATACTCCGCAATTATCTGCCTTTGCTGAGGTGGACGAGCATATTGTTCGTAGCGAATCACCGTCACTATGGGAGACAAAACGTCGTGGGATCGGTGCAATAACACATCAACCTATTGCTACCGCGTGGGATCGTCGGTCGGGATTGTCTGCCGAAAGTGAAGGACTTTCTGGCACCGGGTCATCATCCAGCTTGTCCCGTATGTGTTTGCCTACTCCGAATGACGCTTATTGCTAATATATATCTCGTAGACCCACCGAACGCCATTCTTCTGGTTGGCGCGTTACAGGCGGAAGTGCAAACAACTCGCCGACGTGCCTTTATCGACAATTGCCTTTCCAAGATTCAATATGTCGCCACACAATGCGACAAAGGCGCACAGAAACTGGTCACAGCTGGGGCTGTTCCGGTGTTGATACATCTGTTGAAGATTCGAGCAGCTGAGCCAGATGGTTTAGAGATAGTTCTGACAACACTTGGTCTTATCGCGTACGTTATATTATTCGTTTCTTCGTCGCCTCTCGCTTATACTGTTTACTTTACTCAGCCACGATACCATAAGCGCCAACACAATTTACCGGACCAACACCACGAGAACCTTGATCGAGATAGTCAAATCCTCAACTTCGGATCCCATCACTACCCTTGCTCTATGGTGTCTCAACCGTATCTGCCGAAATGCTGATGTCGCCTCTGGTCTCATCAAACAGAATCTCGTCAGCGTTATTCTTGAAAAAACTTTGCGTGGCAACCTTGCTTCTGCGCGTATGTCCGCTTGGTGCATTGGCATCCTTATCCATAACGACGCCATAGCCGATGTACTCAGTGATCTCGGCGTTATACCGGAAGTCGCCGCCTATCTTCGACAGGTATCGACCACGAACACCGTCGCCCCCGATGATATTTGTGCGGGCCTCTACGCAGTCGCTCGAATCGCTCGTTCTATCAAGCTTTCAAAGGCCTTATACAAACAGGGATGCGTATCTATGGTGTCGTTCCACTTGACATCATCGAATGACCCCTCAGTTCTTATGTGGGCTGCTCGCGCAGTAGGCTGCATGATGCGGCCAAACAGTGCTGACATGGCTAAGGTACTCTTAGACGCCGACGTCGCGCGAGGCCTCTCCCGCTTGCCGAGCGTATTACCGCCGGAAGTTGTCGAACCGCTGGGTTCGTTCGCTTTTGCTATTCAACGGTTTAGCTGCGCCGAATGGGGTGGCGGAACCCGCAAGGCACTGGTAGACGCCGGAGTCGTGGATGCGCTGTTGGCCGCACTGAGAACGGTCGCCGACGAGCCGTACCCGCAGATACACATGCAGATGGCTTTGGCGGTGAGCTTCTTGGGTGACGTAGGAGGGTCCGCCATCAGGAAGGAGATTGTCAGTGCGGGCGGTATCACAATTTTGAAGCGGGTAGGGGAAAATGGTAGTGCAGATGTGTCTAAAGCGTGTTCGATGGCGGTAACGAGTATCACGGGTAATCTGTGGACAAGGAATGCTGGTAAGTCACGTTCGTCAGGCGCGCGGGATTTCTTTGATTGGCTTTTTTCATGTTCAGCATCTGCAAAGACGGCCATGACACATAATTGGAGCGGAGGATGTCCTGATTATCACACTGCTTGTCCTGTTCCTCTCGTCGACACAGAATCCTCATACTAGTGATAATTTAGTGTCATGGAGGCACCATAGGTTTTTTTTTGAGTACTCGGACTTATCTAAACAATAAATATAATATTAATGTTATTTGGAATTGAAACGCGAATGAGACGTTGTGGCTGTGTCGACTGAGTGCGGTCATCAGCGATGTGTTTAAGTCGGGAGGAGTGGGTCGGCGGCCGCGAATTCTGATCGGCATCCTCCTCAGGTTTGGATTCTGGTGGTTGTTTAGAGTCACGCTCGTCTTCAATACCAATCTCGGTCATCGCAGTCGTTACGTGAAAATATCGTGCGAAAAAAGTCACGACGAGAGCGGGCCATTCCTCCTGCTGCACCGCGGTTTGTAGAACTAGATGACTAAACATGGTCAGTGGGCATCCGCAAAATATGCCATGTTGCAGATGACACTGTTTCAAATCCTTATTAAAAGTGCTGAGGTTTTTTTTAAAACGAAACCAGCTCTTTTTCTGTCAAGGCACTTCCAGGGTTCGAACCTGGGTTATGGGAACCATATTGGCTAACACAGAATCAGAATCCCATGTGCTACCACTACACCATAGCACCAACATCATCATTTTCTTCCTTGTCTTCCTTATCCTTGCGGTGCTTTTTTCCTTCCCAACATATCACATCCCTATGCTTCTACTCATAATGGTATCTATCCAATGTAATCCTGAACTCGACAATAGGACGATTTTCATACTTTCGCTACTGCAGTCCACTTGAGTGTTACCGTATTGTATACTAACGGAGCGACAGGACGCACAACCCTGGATCGCCGAGTCCAAGAGTTATTCTCCCTATCATACCCAATATTGTCTGCAAAAACAGACGTTCCTCTCCAGTGATCATGAACAAGGGAATGTCCCTTGGTGCTCAGGACGCGCCCATCCCAAAGATCAATGTTCCAATTGCGTATTCTCTGAGCTATGGCTAGCATCTGGACCACGACAATAAATCAACTCAGGAGCATGCAGATCCTTAAACACATACCTGGTCCTTGTTCCTCTCAAACGTCTCCAACTCAATCTCAAATTCCTCGAGGCGCTTCAACAGCCTTATCTCATTCGTCCATCCGTCCTTCAGCACCAACAAGTGATTATTCTCCCAGTACCACCAATCCGAGTGTCTTATCGTAATCTTCACCTTTCTCGGACGCATTTCAGCGATCGAACAGGCTGCCGGGAAGGTTCCCTCGAGCCAGTACAGCTGCGTGAAAAAGTGCACGCAATCGATGACATCCTGTTGCTCCTTCGTCATCTTACCAAAGTATACGGCTGGCCTCGCACTCGACCCCGGCGGGCCACGGTGACACCAGAACACATGTTCGTTCCCGATGACAGGCAGGAGACGAGTCTCGTTGTAGACGCGATGGCAGGTGAGGAGGAGATCTGTGTCTATGCGCTGATAGTATTCGTATCCTGGACGAAAGCAGTAAGCGTTGCCAGGATATGCCCGGGATTCGTCTGGGTAGCTACATAGAGCAAGCTGGAAGATGATGTTACGGATTTCGGGTGGGATGGTGGAGAATAGAGGTGAAGCTGTTTGTGGATTGCATTCTTCGGGTGATCTCGTCTGGATGAGACTACGGGGAGAGACTGGTGCTGCTACTGGTCGAGCTCTTTGAAGCGCACGATGCGTGAGCATAGCAGTGAAAGGTTGAGAAGTTCGCGGAGCAATCCCATATCATATTGAAACACAGCATTCGGAACCGGAGGCAATGACTAGAATTGACAACCATGAGGAACTATCAGCTGCTCGGGGCCTCCGGGTATCATCAAGCAAGTGATGCCACGCTATACAGCAGAGTGCTGTAAGAGCAGTCAACCATCAACAGGGCTGGCAGGACAAGTCTAGAAACCACAAATGAACGACAGAAGAACAGCATAGAGTACAAATAGACTCCAGAACACGCGCACACATACGGTGGTCGCTGACCGTTGACCTATATGCAAAATGTGGTTTAGTTTCAACCGTGAAAAAAAAAATCAGAATTACACCCAGATTTTTTTCAATACTTTGCCTCCCTCTCGTACTGCCGATAAACGATCCATAGTTCAAAAAGAGGGGGGAGGTGGAAGGCGTTAGAACCTGTAAATATGCAGTACGATGTCCATGATCATTCTTCCTCAGCTGTAGGAAGTCATTCACGCTCTACCCTATACAAACCATCTCAAAGAAGCTTTCAAGGCATCTGCCTCGCATCGATAGTAAATGGACAGAAATTTGCTTTCATCAAAGTGCAGTTTACTATTGAGTACGTCAAAAACTGTCTGTGGGAAGATCACGCGAGATCTCTCATCCATCTATGCCCAAACATATACCGCACTAGTCCTTAGAATCAGATATGAAATCAAAGAAGTAACGGAGCCCCAAACTCACCTCTCCGCTCCTTGACCCAGAGAATCCCTCCTGCCATCAACTTGGGCATCTGCGCCTCTACGCGTTCCAACAGATTATCTTCGATAGGCGGGTAACCGCAACAAAATCGCTCCCCGCATCTATCATGAGGATGATGGAGCATCAATTCAATCCTGGTCAACGAACCCCCACGCGAGTCGAAAAGTGCATCAAAATCTTGCAAATTTACGGCCGAGATCACGCCGTCGTCCCATCCTAGTCCCCACGTCTACTATGAGTGTCTGTACCGAACTCGAAAAGGGGATATCATGGAGATGGCACAGTTGCACAGTGCACAGATCAGAGGTTGGTGTTGGACTCGATGGAGGGGGATTTTGTTTGGTGGAGAAAACATCAGAACCGGGTTGATGATCGAGTTCAAATCATGATGCTTACTGGACGGAGGGCTTACTAACCCAATGGGGAGATGCTCCAAGGAACCGCCGAGAGTGTCCAAGAGACTCTGCAGGGCGTTTACAGCGGTATCGTCAGCTATGCTCTCAGTCGCACTGATAATTCACGAATTTGAGTGAGATCAATGCGGCTAGGATGGGCCTTGGCCAACATATAAACCGCGTGAAGATGTATAGGACGACCGGCGAAACGAAGAGATTTCAGCTGGAAGAGGTAAGGAATGGTGAGGGGAACGGCGCGCATGAAATATCATCTCTACAGGCCTCGACAGCGATGAGAAATGCGTGGGTTCGTCAAGAAATAAGTCGAGCTCCTCCCAATTTCCTGCCCAAAAAACATCGCTTTTCCATAGTGGAACCACGTCCCAAGTCAAGGATTCTAAGCCCCTGTGGACTGGGATCATCTCGGTATCGACCCGGGAGCTAACAATGTACATTGAACGGAGATTTGTATTCTTGTTGACAATTACCGGTTCTGTTGATTATGTCTGGTTAATGACTGAACGATAGGGCGATCTCAATCCACCTACTGAAGCAGAACCTGAACTCTAATGTAAGATGTTCTAGGGAGTCGCCGACAGCATATAGAAGCATTTGAAGGGCATCAAAGGACTCTTAGTCTGCGAAGCATCTGTCGGAAGAGATCGATAATTCGCGAACGCGCGTGAGATCAAAGTAGGGTGATAGAAACGGGTTAACATGGGCTCGACACAACGGCCTCCCTGCGACAGTCAGCGACTCGAGACAGACTCGAGGCAATTGTGCACTAAGAGTGTTTGGGAACTCCTAGGAGTTGATACCGCTAGTATTGACATAGGAGAAGTGTCTTAGCAATTTGGCTTCTCGGATGACTTCAATAAATTCAGCAGCATCTTCGAAGGAGAGAAAATCGACATCTAGCTGGGAGAGGCGAGGAAGCGTCGTGATAAATGTTGCTCGCAGATCAGCGCTTAATGCTTTCCACGACTGGCCTGGTACATTGCTAAGAACTAGGTGACGCAGATGGGCAAGCGAGTATAAAATGGTCGGCAGAATAGTGGCATATTGGGGGGTCTTCCGGGAGGCAGGTACTACCGTTTACTGAGTGTACTTCGTCCCTATTATGGAGGACGAGTGTTTTGACGACGCTAGAAATCCAGGGGGCCTCCAGTAGGAGAGAGAGAAAGTCCCTGCATGTAGAAAGTCTTCCAGTTATGTCCTGTACGACGAACATTTCTGGGACGGGACCGAGGACATGTTCGTGTACAAATATGACTTCAGCGAAAGGATGTACTCCGAAAGAGGGTAGAAACGAGTGGGGGGCGAGGGAGGCAGCTTGGAGGCTAGGGATACCATCGTAGTTGTAATCGATGATCTGATCAATAATTTCTTGAGGAAAGACTGAGGCCCTTCGACCGAAAAACTAAGATAACGTATTAACAAAGAAGTAACTGACCTTGATTACTATCACACCTCGACTTCCTCATCTTTGTCGGATTCTTCTTCTGGCTGGCCTACATTGCACGCTAGCGACACTTGGCGAGGCAGAAAAAGATCGTGTATGCTACCAGGTCTGCCTAGGTCTGGGCTCAAGTTGTAGGTCGCACTGACTGTATTTGAAAATTGGAATGAAGTTAGCACTGATGTCAAGTTTGACTTCAAGATGCTGAAAGGCTGACTTAGTCGGCTACCCCTGCTTACCTTACTACTCCCGGGACAGCCATGGCTTGCATGACGGTAGCGGGAATTATCTACCAGTACCGCAGACTGGCACCTTAATTTCGAGTCCATGCCTGCCGTCGCCTCAGCTGCAGATATTGCTCCGGGCCGAGCTGCCGAAAGTACTGTTTACCACGTTATTCATTATCAATTTCAACATCGTATCGCAATCTCTCATGAAACTGCTTACCTTTTCTCTCTGCTCCCACCATGACCGTCGAGGACACCGACGAGACGAGGCCGCTGCTTGCCAATGCCAATGCCAATGGAGGAGATAAATCTGCAAGGGCATTAGCTGCTGTGGTGCGTCGTCTATCATTCATGTCGGAATCCTTCTTGATTGCATCGTCAGGTCATTCCCATGTCGGTTGGGGTATTTCTCGCCGCCATGGATGGGACAATTGTCGTTTCATGTATACCTGGCCTTCCCTTTACCAAGATCTTATCGTTCTAACAGTAGTATAGCATACGCTGCCATCGGGAGTGAGCTCCAACAGCTCCAAAAGACGAGCTGGATCGCCACGGGGTACATGCTCACCCTCACCAGCTTTCAGTGAGCTACTATTCAAATTCACATTTATCGTTCTCAGTATACATGCACAGACCGTTGTACGGCAAACTCAGCGACATATTCGGGCGCAAGACCTGCCTGCTGACCGCGTATTGCATCTTCGCTGTTGGCAGTCTCTTGTGTGGGATCTCGGAGAGTATGAACGCGTTGATCGCCTCACGTGCCCTAGCGGGTATCGGCGGTGGGGGAATGTCAACGGTCGTGAGCATTATCATGTCCGATATCGTGCCCCTCCGGAGTCGGGGGACCTGGCAGGGTATTATCAATATCGTATTTGCGACAGGGAGCGCAGTCGGCGCGCCTCTTGGGGGAATACTGGCTGATACAATTGGTTGGCGCTGGGCATTCCTTATGCAAGTCCCTATTGCACTCGTTGCTATCATTTCTGTCTCTGTGGCTTTAAGAATACCCTTGCCCTCCAATGATTCCAGCTTGAAGAACAAGATTTGCCGCGTAGATTTCCTGGGGGCGTTCACTCTCGTCCTGACGGTACTCCTCCTCCTCCTCGGGCTCGATAACGGAGGAAACGTCTCCTGGTCGGCACCGCTCACCATCAGTACCCTTGTCAGCTCAGCAGTGTTCTTCGTTCTGTTCGCCATCACAGAGCACACTGCACGCGAACCACTTGCGCCAGCTCGAATTATTCTCTCCCATGCGCTCACCCCATCATATCTTGTCAATTTCTTTGGAGTGGCGGCAAGCATGTGTATGCTATTCCACCTCTCGTTGTACTTGCAGGCTGTGTGCGGGTTCTCCGCTAGCCGGGTGGGGGCATGGTTCATCCCGAGCGTCTTGGGTGGCGTATCAGGGAGTTTGATTGGCGGCATAATCATGCAGGCCACGGGGAAGTTTTATTGGGTCACGGTTGCAGGGTACCTTTTACTTCTGATGGGAACCTTGCTCGTGGTGTTGATGAGTGGTGTGGTGGTGAGCTCCTTGGTGGGCTTGGTGGTGGGCTTGGTGATAGCAAGCGTAGGCAATGGTATGTGTTTCTGATATTATTGCCGTTTTAGCTGTTCTTATAATCTGTCAGGGGGTGGTATAACGACCTCACTCATCTCTCTAATTGCCAATGCTGGACATACTGATCAGGCGATCGCTACAGCAGGTAACGAAGGCTTTCGCACATCCCTGATGTCTTACTAAACTCAAATCATGTAGTATCCTACCTCTTCCGTTCCCTTGGCTCCGTCGTAGGTCTCTCAGTCGGCAGCACGCTCGTCCAAGGAACACTGCGTGCTGCGCTCAAACGGGAGTTGATTGGAGAGGATGTGGATATCGATGAACTTGTCCGCCAAGTAAGACATTCTCTTGACAGCATCGCCACACTTCCGCAAAATCTTCGTGTGATTGTGAGGCACGCGTATGGGGAGGCGATACATGTTGTGTTTTGGTTTACTATGGCCCTTGCGGGGGTCGCAGTGGTAGCAGCGGTCTTCATAAAGGAGATACCGTTGACACCAAAGGTGCAGGATGAAGGCGAAAGGCAGGAAGAGTGATTATATGAATTAAATTCATCATTTTTGTTGTAAGTTGATTCTAGAAGTTTGCCTCTTATGCATTGGATGCAAAATTTTGCGTTATAAGCAAATTCTGTCGCGAACTTCAGATAGTGCTTGTTTAGTAAAAAGGATTGCCCGACATACGTGCTGGTGAAACATCTAAATCTGTTACCCTATGATACGACAGTCCAAGTTGGATTCTAGAGTAGGGACGTCTGTGCTTCGTGTGTATTTCTATTGATTCTTTTTGTACTTCTTTACTGACTGTATCCTAGCCATCCCTCTAAATCTTCGAAGTCTAAGGCTCGCCATTAGAGGAGGCAATGCCGTTGGTGGTGTTCCCTTGTTTATGGTTTGTTCTTTTAGAATTGTTTGCACCATCTTCGCCCTGACACCTCTGGTTGCTGCTAACTTCGTTGTTCTGGGCACATTCATCAAAGGTTGGATCCTGTATATAGCAGGCTCACTCCCCGGATGTGTGAGTCGCGCAGCCCCAATACCTGATACTCATCCTAAGCTGTCTTTAGATTCTATCATCTTCTGCACCTGCGTAAGCACCGTCTCTCCCCTGTATTCTCAATCCATTCACCATGATTTGTATATTTCAGGATGGCGTCGCCTTGATAATACAAGATGTTGGAGGAGGCATTGCGTCGGCAGCTACAACTCTACCAGCCGCCAATAAGGTTTGTAAAATATTCTCCGGAGAGTTTTGGTGATTCTAATCATTCTTCGTGTACAGGGTGGAGATATAATACTCGGCGGCATTGTGTTCCAACTGGGTCAGCAAAGTGCTTGTGATATCATTGACGATAATTAATCCTGCTTCCTGCAGCTGTTATTACTGTGTATGTCCTTTGTGCTGCTGAGTTTCTTGTATGATACGTCAAGGGCGTCCCGATCACTTCCCGTACTGCGAATTGCCAGGTAGACGTAGCTTCTATGAAGCCTATTTACTCTCGCGGCATCATGAGTGGAAAAATGTTGCTCATGTTAGGGGCTTTGACCCCCAGCACCATCT